CTTAAACAATTTTATTCATTTACTAATTAATTCCTAATTGAGTTTAAATTAAATATTATCATGTTTTTAGGGCATGAATCTGAATTGAACAACCTGATAATGCTCACTCTGGTTATTGTTTCCGTTTTTAAAAGCGCTATATGTTGAGCCACCTCATGTGACATTTGCCATGTGACATTTTTAGCAGCAATCATTGGCCGATTTTCTAACGTTGCCATTCGGGGAGTTGTAATGAGGCTTTTTTTTTTGGTGCCGTGTAAGAGAAATATATATATATAGATTTTTGTCATTTTAAATAAATGACAAATTCTAAAGTTGAATAAAATCTATCGTGAAATTCAAAGAATTCGTACTTTGAAATTTTCATTTCTTTAAAGGCATTTGACCAATTGCAGTCAAATTTTGGAATTTCGTTTCTTACAATAACATTATTTAAAATAAAATTGTGTATGCCTTAAAATGCAAAACTTTTTCAAACATTATTAAATTAAGTAATACAAAATAATTAATATTTTGTAACAAATTTTATTTTGATGGAATTATCGTACATGGTTTTATATTCAAAAAGTAAAATGATATTAAAGGGGTTATCATCTGACTAAATTATCAGATGCATATTTTCCAGATTGCGATAACCCCCTTCCATGTTATGAAGGTCAGAAATCCAAACACATCAAAAGAAAAGTTATGTTTATTCAACAAAAAAAGCATGTTATTACGTCTGATTTTATAATTTAAATTTATTTCGATCTAACACATTCGTATTGTATTTAAAGTTAGTCCCCTCGGAACATTATGATAATCATAAGATCATACGCTATTCAAATATTACATTTTTTAATTTGCCCACTATTTTTTTTACTATCACTTAATTATGATCCATCAATAGTAAGAAGAAGATTGACTATGTGGGAGTTAATTTCCACTACGACATGTCATTGTACTGTACTGTAAAAAATTCCGCTTCAAATCGCGCAAAAAAGTACTCGCTCTCTGGTCTAAAGTACCGGTATTTCTTACAGTAAAATTTTGGGAACAAAAAATCTAATTCCCTGTAATTTTTACAGTAATATTTACAGTAAAATTTACGAATCATTATTATTACATAAATATAACTGTAAAAATGACACATTAAATTCTACGGTAAAAAATTAATTTTATAATAAAATGCATTTTACGGATGCTGCTTATTTAGTTTGCCAGTACTTTTTACAGTAATTTAATCCGGAATTTTACCGTGTGGAAAATTTTAATTGACGCCAAGCTTTTACTCTACCTATTATAATCCTCCTTAAACGCTATTTTAACAAGCACACTCTTACTTTGATTTCTTACAGTGGACGGACTATAGGGACAAATCTAGAAAATGAGTTTGTTGTATCGAAAATCTGAGCAAAACTACGTAACTTATGTTAAATAAAATGCTTTGCGTACTGTTCTTTATAAATTGCCTGAATATTTTAGATCTATATCATATTCATACAAACTTCAGATAAATTTATTATTTATAATTTTTTTTAAAATAATGTCTATTTAAACTAACGTCTGTGTCTTTATTATCTTTATTTTTTAAAAAAAGAAAAAGCATAAGGTCATTTAGAGTTAAAAAATACTTTTAGATTTATAGGTTTATACCATTGTCACACAGTTAAACGTATTTTAAAAACAAAATTATTATCACTTTCCAAAAAGCTAGAGGTCAGCCAGTCTACTTTTATTAGTTATCCCAATTACTAAAGAAAAACATCTAATATAAAATAATAAAAGATTATTATTAAATAATTAATAGTATTTCTTCAATATTATAAAAGTAATTTGGAAAACTTGAAGCATCGAAATGTTTTTGAATCTTTATGCTTTTGAGTATTTTGACTATTTATAGTAAGCAATAATATATTTATCGTATCTTCCTTAAAGGGCAAAGGTGAAATGGTTACATATTGGTTAATTGGACAAGAAAAATACAGAATAAAGAACTCTCCTCGTCCAGCAACAAATAAGATTTTTCCTAACTCTCAACAAGTTACGAGATCTTCATTAAAGCAACGTAATCGAAACACATCACCTACCTTCAACAGGAAATTTTCCCTAGATTCACGCAAAATTTTACGATTTGACCCACAAATCCACACAAGTTCATCTAAAAAGCATTGCAAATCTAATCCCAGACTGAAACCATTGTTGTACCAGAGCAAAAGTTACAACTCTTTCTTCCAGGATTACGAACTACCTAATTTATATCGAAATTCTTCCTCTTCTGACAGAAGAAATTCATCATGTCCATGCTTAGAAGGAGATTGAAACTGAAAGATTTCGTCCTGTCTTACCCTTCTTTTTAAAAATATTTTTAAAAAAATCATTTGAACTAAATGGGGGGAAATGAAACATCTTTCCAGTGTAATGAAGCATTTTTCCAATGTAATGAAGCATCTTTCCAGAGTGATGAAGGACTTTTTCAATGTGATGAAATATTTTTCCAATGTCATCTTTCCAGTGTGATGAATGATTTTTTTCTATGTGATGAAACATTTTTCCAATGTAATGAAGTATCTTTCCAGTGTGATGAATAAGGCCCGGATTTTGATGACATTTGCATTTTTTTGCATTTTTTGCATTTTTGGACATTTTCTTGTGTTTTAGAGCATTTTTTAGATTTATAGGGCATTTTTCTTTAAATTTTGGGGCGTATTTTGCCTTTTAATGCATTTTTTTTAAAGTTTTTTGTTAATTTTTTCCAATTTTTATTATTTTTTTTATCAATTTTCATTATTACACTGGCTTCCAAACAATGAAGAAAATCTCTAGGATATTAACAGGTGAAGCAACATCTTTTCAAATTGAAGAAGAATTGTCAGTAAGTGTGACCGTCCTTTTCAAGTACGCACCAATAACATCAGTAGACGTTGAAAGAAGCTTCTCCTGGTATAAAAATTTGCTTTCAGACAAGAGACGCTCGTTTACATTTCAAAATATTAAAAAAAAATTTAATAATCCACTGTAATTCTGATATTTAGTAATATTATGAGATGGAAGTTGTTATATTCATTTAAGTTTCTATACAAAATGAAAATGTTTTGGAGTCAATATATTTTCCTTTTTTTTGTTATTTTAGGATATAAAACATATTTTTCAAACTTTAATGAACGTAGAACAAGTATTCTATTGCTTTATATTTTTTGAAATGACTCATAATAATTTTAAAGAGTAAAACATTGCTACTTTATTTAAGTCATGTCATAAGGCATTTTTAGCGCAATTTCCGCATTTTTAAGAGCATTTTTAGCACTTTTTAAGGGCATTTTTTGCACTTTTTAAGGACATTAATTGGGATTTTTTAGGTCATCAAAATCCGGGCTCTAGTGATGAAGGATTTTTTCAATGTGATGAAACATTTTTCCAATGTAATGAAGCATCTTTCCAGTGTGATGAAGGATTTTTTCAATGTAATGAAACATTTTTCCAATGTAATGAAGCATCATTTTATAAGTCCTGCAAAGTGAACTAAAGTGATACTTCCAACTTTCACGAGTATTAACAACTAATATTAAAAAGTTAATGAAAATTTTCAGTTGCTTGCACACGTATATAAATAAGTTTTTTTTTTCAGGCTGTTTGTTTGGAAGCACTTTCTTTAGTGTTTTTGGGATATGGACACAGTTCGGGGCTAAAAATAAAAACTACAACTGAAGTTACAAGCATTCCCATTGGTAGTTTAGTTTCAATTGTATACTTTACACGTTACAAATTACATTTTTGCAATATTTATTACGATATTTTGCATTTACTTAATGCTATTCACGCGATAATAGCATTATCTTGTTTATTTCTTGTGTTACGCAAGTCGAAATTAATAATTTTAATCTTTTTCTTCAACTGCACTGAATTTACGTATCGTACATTGTATATTGAATCATTTACTGATAAAAGAAATGTTTTGATGTCACATTTTTTAACCAATGCATGCTGTTGTTCATAAATTCTAAAATGAGTTACTTTCAAAGCGTTTGCAACTGCTTAACACGTATCTGGAGAACCATCAAGCATGCACCTATGTCTAATTTTCAAATAAAAAGAATCAATTTAATATTTTAAATGTAGAATATGGAAATTTAAATTTACTTTTGTGTCTGTAAATGTATCTATAAATATGAAAATGTATCTATAAATGTAAACTTATGCGTGTTTGATTCATTGAAACTTCTATTTGATTCAGTATTTCTATGAGTGATTTGTCATTTTTTATGATTATCGATTATGACCCCCTGACAGAAATTCTAAAACCATTAGAATTAACTTTAATTTATTATAAATATTCAAATTTTTAACATTACATTAATATTTAACATGCGCCCACATTTGCATAACAAGAACCAATTTAATATTTTAAGTATAGAATATGTAAATTGTAAATCTGTAAATTTGCATTTATTTATGTGTATGTAAACGTGTTTATTTAAGTATGTATATGTAAATATGAACTTGTAAATATGAATATGTATATTGTAATATAAATATGAATATGTATAATTTAAAATTGTGCAAATTTGTGCTTGTTTTATTCATTGAAACTTTCATTTGACCGTTTTAACCAAATCTGAGAGTGATTTGTCATTTTTTATGTATACCATGATCAATTATGAAACCCAGACATAAATTCTTCAATTTTAAATCAACTTTCAAACACCTTATCAACTTAATTACTTTTATGATTCAGCAGCATTTCTTTTGGTTTAACTCCAATCCCTCCATAAAACTAATGCTTCGGAATATCATGAAAAGAGATTCTTTGTTAAAAGTTAAGAGTATACATGCATTTTTCTTTATTTATGGAAAAATAATGAAGAAATTAAAGAGAGAAAAAAGAGATATCCTTTATATTGCAAAATTAATTCCGATTTTTCATTTCCTATAACAAGGATTTACGAAGAAATAAAGTTTTATACCTGTTAATTTTAATTCACCCGGGAAAATAAACATTTATACATATTCTACTTGTATCTGCTATTTACATTTTACCCAAATAATTTCATATGTCTCAAATTATCGTAGTTACATGGGCGTCGCAACAGGAAAGGGAGTTCGGACCCCTCAATATTTGGGGATTCAGAACCTAACATTTCGAGAGAAAAATTGTTTCTGTTTTATTTTTCGTAAAAATAAAATAGTTTTTTTACGTAATAATAATAATTATATAAAAAATTTATTTCGTTAAAAAAATTCTTATATAAAAAAAATTTATATAAAGGCAATGTACCAAAAAAAACTGCATCAAAAATCGACAAAACAAGTGCTTTCATAAATAATATAATTGTTACTGCCAGTCTAACCTTTTTCTCTCAAATGAAGAACAAAACACTCTCGACACTGAAGAAAATTGAAGACAAAAAGTCCTTTTAAATATCCCACTTTATACCACGCACTGAGCTCTCTGATCCCACTAAGAAATAGCCGCTTCATTTTACTCTATGGAAAAATGTCTTTCTCTTCTTTAAACAGCTTTTATCTTATTTATAGCCTGAGGCTCTTTCGTACTGCTATATGATTTTTAGAAACATTGGATATCTACAGTATAGTTTCTTTATCCAATTTCCATCATGAATTGACACTAACAGACTTATTTAGAATCTCACAGAACTTTTTTAAGCTTTCTTTGGAAAAGTAAAAAGGGGGCTCTTTGGGATAGAAGTTTTGCAGTGAAGAGTGGACACTTTTGTCCGCATCACGGACCACACTAATGAGACATTAAACTTTTTTCCATAATTTTTAAGTGCTTTCCCTCTCTCAAAGCCAGTCTTTCTGACAAACTTACCAATAGCGAGAATTGTTCAGTCAGCTCTTTTACTCTAGATCAGTGTTTCCCAACCTTTTTTATGCCTTGCCCCACCTAAGCCTTTCTAAAATTCTTATGCCCCTCTATATAACATATACATAATTTTTTATATTAAAAAAATTGAATTGTTCACTTAAGAAACTTAAATTATAGGTTTTAGGAAGAAATCACTAGTTGTTAACTAAACACAGTAAGTTAATTTTCAAAACATATAATGAAAAACTAAAATTCAAAACAATTTAAATTAAAATTTTTCAATAATAATTTAATATTTTAATTAAGTGGGATCCTTGCTCTTGATGCAAGGAGATTTTATCCTAGGTTCCAATTTGGTTTCAAGTCTCACCGTTGTGTTATATCCAGAAGATTTCTTTCTTTTTTTACCAGTAAATCATTTACAGCTAAATCTACATTCAGCTAAATATGAAGATGGAAACTGTAACAATAGTTTTCTTGCACATTTAATTGAATTTGGGCATTTGATTTCTGCTTCCTAACCAAGCCATGCTTTACTCCTTCTATATTAAATAAAGTTTTAACTGACTCATCATTTTGCATTTCTACGAGTTCTTCTTGATACTGTATAATTGATATATCAGACAAATCCACTAACATTGACTGCATCATCTATGTAGGAAAATCAATTTTGTTTTAAAATTAAAAAATCTTTCTTTTATGATCGACAATAACAAGTAAAGCGGTATCATTTATTTCACATTTTTGGAGTGTTAATATATTTCTGACATAACTCAATAAGGACAATGAAACCAAATATCTTCGCTTTTGCATCAACATGAGTTGAGTTTTATTTGTTGCTTGAAGTTGCTTATTTAATTTAGTTTTTCAAACATATCGGCTAAATCACTCACTAATGCTTTACCATCGACTGTTAGCAAATACTTCATTTCAGGTTTGTCGCTTAAAAAATCACTAAGTCACATAATATTTATTGGCTGCAATTATTTAAGAATTTGCTTTTTTCTTTCAATTTTGTCCCCGAAATTCAGCATTGCATTTAAATGGCCTGGATCTAAAGGATTAAACTCCTGTCTAGTCCATTTTCGAATTGCCCCCTTTAACAATCAAATTGCCCCCCTGTGGGGCGTGGGCCCCACGTTGGGAAACACTGCTCTAGATTATATGACTGGACATAGTCCATTCATCCGAAAAAATCCTGGAAAAAATACGATTTTTTTCTCAACCTTTCGGGAATATATTAGTGAATTTTATTTATTCATTTTTTTAAAAAAAGGCCGAGATAAAAAAAAATCTCTAAACCTACTTGATTTCATAAGGAAACGGAAAAGTGAGAAATGTGTTGAAACACGATCGTTAAAAGCACCAGCAGGATTTCGCTGGCAATCAAACAAATTTTGGTGCTTTCATACACTTATCAGTGATTTATCAGATTTTGATAACTTTGTTGCGTTTTCAAGCTTATAATTATTAATACCTGATGTGTAATTCTATTTTAACGTCTTTCTATTCAAGGTTTTTAAAGATGCATATTTAAAACTGTGATAATGGAATTTCCTCTATGTTTTCTCTTACTATAATGAATTGATGGCTATGTTTGATTAAAAAAAAAAATGTCTTTCTTGCTTTTTGTGTGGATGTCTTTATATTTCGTTAAATTTCTGAAGCTAATAACAATGAATTTAACTTGAAGCAAAACGACTTAATCTGACCATTGTGCGTAAGGTTAAAACAAAAATGTATTAAAATCCTTTCAAAGTGCAGAGTACGAAATACAAACGATAAGAAAATAGTTATAATTAATAAAAAATATTAGTGTTGCACTCTTGCAATACTGTACTCCAGTTTTAGTATTTAGCGTTGCACTAGACAATGTATTAAGCGTATGTGACTGGTGGCTTCACACGTATTCAATTTTGGGTATGAATTAGTAGTTCTTCTCACGTATAGTTTCTGAACAGCCACACTGATCAAATCCAACAATTTATTTCCTATTCCCTCGAAACAAATCAAATATAATATTTCTACTGAATCGAAAACCTTTCGCGGCATCTGCTGATGATGCTCAATGCTGAAAAACTCATGCTGTCGTAGGGGCAATTCTCATTACAGTACCTTAGATTCACTGCAGTACCTTATATTTAATTCTTAGAGTCAAATATTTAAAAATAAACAGCAAATAAACTTGTAGCGTATGAGAAAATCTCACTCATGAAACATTCAGGCTGCGATATCTTTACTGAACATTCTCACGCCATGCTCACATGTGCGTCGCACGTAAATTCGATTCGTGCACTGGAGTTTTCTTCATTGTAGCATGGTAACTTTCCTTCTTTATTGTGGCCTATTAAATTTAAAAAAGAAAAATGCTTGATATTTTTTCTTAAGCATGCGAATACAAAATAGCAACGCTTTTTCTAGAGAATGAACATCCAAAACAAATCGAAAAAGTTTTTGTAAATAAACAGAAAAAAGTATGTTTCTTATCCTCCTGTTAGAGTTGAAACAAAATGCTTGCGAAATCACTCTATTAAATTTAATGATCTAATATGAAAGGTCTATTTAAACTTTAATTTCTATACTTTTCTGAATCATATTACTTCAAGCATTAAAATATACAAAAAGTATACAGAAACAATAATTTTATGTCATTTAATTTTGCAAAAAAAGTTTTTTGACAACAATTTTTATCAAAAAGTTTAAAGTTTCAATTAAAAAATCATTATTTATAAACTTGAAAAATAAATAATGCTTATGACAAAAAATTTACTCTAAAAAATTCTCATATTGAAATAAAAAACTTTCATATTGCTTTTTTATTTTATTTTTTTTTATTCTTAACCAGACGTAGAAAATCATTCCGTATACAACTATCATCAAACTAGAAGGAAACATTTTGCAAGTAAATTTTTTATTATATATATCATTGGTTCTCAACGGGGGCGGTGGGACTATGCTGAGGGGCGGTGAACTTGTTTTGGGCAGTAGGGGGGCGTTTAGCATGCTTTGTCATTCAAATTTAATTTTAAAATTTACAAATAAAATTATTAAATTAAGATTAATTTAATAAAAAAAATTTTAANCAGATATTTTAGCTGTTCACTGCGTGATTCACAGACAGTATTTAGTTAAAAAGGTTGAGAACCTATGATATATATCATAACACTATGAATCTGGAGAATTCTAAAATGAAATGTTCTTCGTTTGAAAATTTTACTCTCAAATAATATATACATAAAATATCCCTTCATTACTATTAGATGACAATCCACACAACAAAATTTCATAATTGTAAGATCTCGATATGAATTTAAAAATGTAACTTAAAAACAGAATAGCTGAATTCTAGTTGAAATTAATCATTCAAATTTAAAGAATAATTACTAAGAAAGAGATAAAAATTTATTCACAATCAACGCAAATGATACTATTTCCAGTAATTCGTATGATTCTTCATTGCAGTTCTACACATTCTATTACATTACATACACATTCTATTACATTATTCTTCATTCTATTACAGTTCTACACATTCAAAAATCACATTTATTCATTGGAATGAAATAAACAATGTTAACTTCACTTTAATTTATAATGAATTGAAGACAAAAAAAAAAAAAAAAATTTACCTTAATTCACTCATCTTTATCAGTAGACGATCACGAAATCGGAAGTTATCGGTTGCAAGTTGGTTAGAAGAAAAAATTATTGAGAAATTGCTCTTCAAATATTGGTCGCGTTCTGCTTCCGAATGATTTACCAATGATCTGGATCGGTTTTTTTTAAAGTCTTCTGCCTTTTCAGGAAGGAAATTTTGCTACTTTTTTGCAGCTGAAAAAAAAAAATCCCTACTCCACTAATGTTGTTGTGGTTCATTTACGTCGCATTAGAGCTGCACAATGGGATATTGGCGACGGTCTGAAAAAAATCCCTGAAGAAGATCCGAAAACATGCCTTCACAATTTTGATCCTCTGCGGAGGGGATGGCACCCCCGCCCTGGTAGCTCGCCGACCTGCACGCGAAGTCGAGCACTTTACGGTAGAACAGTTTAACGAGGACCAATACCGCACACCCTCGGTCCCTACGCAGACTGATCCATATGGTTACCCACTCGCACACTGACCGCAGCCAGTGATGCTTGATTTCGGTGATCTGCTGGGAACCGTGTCTTAACGATCAGTCCACTGCGGGACGCTCCACTAATGATTCTAGTAAAACTAAATGAAAACTTAATAAATAAGAGCAGGAAAATATCCTCCCCGCTAAAGGGCGTATTCGTTGTGATCGCGAATACTCGTAATAGTATCTAAAAACTCATACACGAGTTTGACCAACACCTATGCAACTCAATTTTATGCTGTGTGAGTGGCCCTGTCTACGCGCATGCAAATGTTTGATTGCCATACTCACTAGATGTCACACGCAAATGCGATCTTGCATCAATACGATGTTGCGCACGCATGATTTATGCGACTTGCATTTAGTTTCTGAACATTTGCACCAGCGTTTAGAGTGATTTCATGCTGTTTGAATGCTTTCTTAGAAATAACATATCAACAAATCACTTGCGTATGGACATGCACGAATTGCATTGAAATGCAGTTGCATATTCCAATCGTATGAGAATACCGCATGGTGTGGAATAACATGGGCGAATCTTGAGCAGTAAAAATGGTCCGTTTCTGTTATATCAGAGGTAAAAGAGAGGCTTGCTAGGATCTAGGATCAATGACTTTTACTTTCATCTCATAATTTGTAAACAACACAAAGTGGTGGTAAACATTGGTTGTACATGTACTCCATGTGGCAAGGAAAAATAGCGAAGTCCTTGCAAACTTTGAAATATTTGTCAAATATTTAGGATTACTTTAAAACAATGTCTTTATTATTAGTTGCTGAACTGATTGGCCATGAAGATAGAGTTTGGTGTGTTGCTTGGGACCCTACCGGTCAAGTTTTAGCAAGTTGCAGCGGTGATAAAACTATTAGAATATGGAGTAAAGAACAGGAATCTTGGAAGTCTATTGCAATCTTAAAAGATGGACATGAAAGAACCATCCGTAGTGTTGCATGGTCACCTTGTGGGAAATATCTCGCATCTGCTAGTTTCGATGCTACAACATGCATTTGGGAACGTCGTAATGGAGAATTCGAATGCATCGCAACTCTTGAAGGGCATGAGAACGAAGTTAAAAGCGTGGCTTGGTCTAATTCTGGTCAATATTTAGGTACTTGCAGTCGCGATAAATCAGTGTGGATTTGGGAAGTCGAAGATGATAATGAATATGAATGTGCTAGCGTTATCAATAGTCATACTCAAGATGTAAAAAAGGTCCTATGGCATCCTCTTAAAGATCTACTTGTCTCAACTAGTTATGATGACACTATTAAATTTTATAAAGAAGATAGTGATGATTGGTCTGTGATCAATACTTTAACTTCTCATTCATCGACTGTTTGGTCTGCATGTTTTAACAGTGTTGGTAATGCATTAGCGACTTGTAGTGATGATAAAACTATTAAAATTTGGAAAGAGTATCCTCCTGGTAATTCTGCAGGAATTGAAACTATCGGCTCTGATTCTGCATGGAAATGTGTGTGTACAATATCTGGATATTATGAGAGACCTATTTATGATATATCATGGTGTCCATTAACTAATTACATTGCCACTGCATCAGGGGATAACGGTATTAAGGTTTTTTATGAGGATCAAAATTCGGAAACTGATTCACCTAGTTTTAATTTGCTTGCTTCAGTATCAGACGCGCATGAATCGGATGTTAATTCTGTTGTTTTTAATCCGAAAATATCTGGACTTTTGGCTTCAGGAAGTGACGATTATACTATTAAGCTTTGGGAAGTTAAGCCATAATGTAATTAAAATTTTGGTTGTTATAGAACCACAACAGTTATTTGATTACTTAAATATATTATTTAGATTGAATAATTATATGTGATTATATATTTAGAATAATAAATTATATTTTTATACGATTATGTTATTTTTTTATTAAATTTTTTTACATTTAGGGCAGTAATGTGCAACTAATAACCTATGGTTGAAACCAGGGTTGGCAAGGTTTAGGACAGAATGGATTAATCCATGGTTTAAACCGTCCTGTCATAAACTGTCCAAAACCCTTTTACTCAAATTATATCACAATTTTATCTGAACAATATTTAAGAGTTAAAATAAACATATTGATAATTATATATACTAGAGAATATTTGTTTTTAAAAGTATAATGTTTTATTAATATTGTTTGACTCTTCAATTTAAACAAAGGAAGATTAATCAGTAATCAAGTTCAATTGGTCCTCTCATTCAATAGTACATAACTGAAGTTTGGACTTGCCATACAGGTTAAAATATTAGGGACTAAGTGCTTGGTTCGTCATAAACAGGTTTATTTATCTACAGTATTCAAGAATACTTTTATTTCATTCATGTTCAATTCTTTTAGCATAGTGGTGATACATCACCGGTGTCAGTAACTGAAACTGATGTTATGCCCTTCAAAACTGTTAATACATTTTTCAGTTATTTTGTATTTTCATTATCAACTAATATATTTATATTTAAAAACAATTTTTTTTTAAATAGATGTCTTTTTTATCATCCTGTGATGCAGAAATTATAAAAATTTTTAAAGAAAATATTGTGAAAGATAAAAGGTTAATTTTTGAACAAATTTAGTATTTTCTTTAAGAAAAATTATAATTTTTTAATATTGACATATTTATCCTTATGCAAAAATATTATTTATCAGTATTAAAAGTATATTTATGTTTAAAGGATTAGGTATTCACTTTTGTTGTTCAATGAATTGTGGAGCTTCAAAAATTATAAACCTTTTTCTATTATATTATATTATTTTCTTTTAATAAGTTATAGTAAATTGTATGAAAAATATCAAATATTTATTGATACATGTAATTATTATGTATACAAAGGTTACACCTATAGAATTTTTACCTTTTATCAAAGTTCAAGGTTTTGGACACTTTAAGACAGTTTAGAACAGTTTTACCCAGTTTAAGACAGTAAAACCCACGTGTCCTGTCCAAAACCAGTTTAGGACGTCCAAAACCCCAACCCTGGTTGAAACATGTCATCTTAACCTTTTCTATATTAAAAGAAAAATAAATAAAAATTTCTGTCTATTAAAAAACAGTTAATTAGGAAGTCTATTTGTTTAATACTGGTTATTCTGCTCTTTGTTTACTTCTTGAATCAATGTCAATGCTAGCCAGAAATTGTAAACTTTTTTGTTTTGCATATGACCGTTCATCGTTTGCTGCGGAATGCAATTTCTAACTTTTGCTGTAATTTGCCAAATTACTTAAACCCTCTAAAGTTTTAGAAGAATCTTTTTTCGAAATATTCAGTTGGTGACTTTCCTACAACATAAAATCAGTTTTCCCCCATGAATGACCTATTCAATTGAAAAGTAGTGCCTAGATTAAGATCGGCAAAAAATTTCAGTTACAATTTGGAAGGTTTTAGTTCTTATACCCTTTAAATTAAAATTCAGCTGAATAGTTATTCAACATTTTACCCAAATCACTGTGCTGTGCACTGCTATTTACCCAAAAAGGATACTCCCTGAATTTTTTTGCATAATTTGTTGAACCTATGTGCGTTTATATAGTTATAGCAAAAATTTTCTCTGCACAATAACTGAATAAAAATTTTTGAAGACTATTAAGAAAGGCATCTTTCTTTTTATTGGTACTCAATGCATTTTGTAATATTCTATGCATGTACGGTGCACAAAATAAAAAAAATTAACACCTTCTGATATGAACACATATGGGTGCACAACCTTTTTGAGTGAAGGTCTACTTGCACAGCAGGTTGACTAACGAAGGGCCGCGCACATATTTAGTCATGTTGGTGGCAAATATGATAATTTTTATCTCACAATTGGTCCTCTGAACAATAAATATTTTCATCAGTTAACTTAGTAACATATTTTCCTTAATAAATTAAATAAAATTTATAGGGTTTAAGCAAAAACTTAAACATTATAATACATATTAAGATTCAATATTTTGTGAAGAGAAATTCATAAGATTCCAAATTTTTAATTTTCAAAAAAAAATTTTTGTGTTCGGAAGCTCTCGTGGGTTGCACATCATCAGTTGGTGGGCCGCAGGTTGTGCACCCATATCTTAATAGCTTTCTATCTAATCGTTGAATCTTCACGTTCATGAACTCATTCTCAATAATTCAAAGATGTAACCTCAAATATAAATTAATTAGGGCAAGCGACATACTAAAAATTACGAAATCAGGTACAAAAATGCACTTTTTTCTGAATAAACATACCTGTCAAGTCTACTTTTTTTATTGAAGACTCCTGTATTTTAAGACTATCTCCTGTTTACCCGTATATTCTCAAACTTCTCCATATTTGTTAAGAAATTTTAGGTGATAAAATATCCACTGATGACGAAAATACTTCTCTTATTGACAGATGGTGCTATCGCCAGTACTGCAGTACGTTGAGTGTTAATAATTTAAGTTGAGCCGTGGTGGCTATGGGGTGGCTTTCGCCTTCCAATTAGGTGAACCGGGTTCGAATCCCAGCAATGACTGGTCGATACAAATTCCGAATCCAGCTTGCCCTGACCACAGTACTGACATAAAATATCCTCAGTAGTAGAAGGATCACAAATTACAGTCCCCTTGTCATTAGGCTAACCGTGGGTGATTTTCCTCTCCGTGTAACTCAAATGCGGGAAAGTTCCATCAAAAAGTCCTCCACAAAGGCAAATTTCTCCTAATACTTGTTCTAGGATTTTCCTTGTATTCTGGATCGGGTTCAAAATTACAAGGCTACAGAGTTGAAAATTAGCAGGCATAAACCCAAAATTGGGTCAGCTGTTCAACGACGGTTATAAAATAAAATAGTTAAAGTATCTATAAATAATGGTTTAAAAAAATCTTAATATTAAGATTTATATACATATTTTTTACTTCACTTAATGTAAGTGCTTATAATATTTAAATTTCTCTTTTTGACTTACATGATTATGCACGATGTATCAAATTTTTACTTGTGCCCTAAAAAATTGCCGTGCGTAAAATCTCCTTTATTTTATTACGTCAATGTTAGGTGTGGTTTTTTTTTTTTTTTTTTTTTTTTTTTTTNTTTTTTTAATGAATTTGGATTTCTGATCCCCAAAATTTAGGGGTAGCCACAATTTGGGAAAGAAATATTGCCCCCATAGTTGTACCAGGAGAGTGATCCAATGCTTGAACCCTTTAATGTTAACTGTGTATTTTGCCTTATTTCGAAATTTTGAAGCGAATTGAAACAATTTTGCACACAATTGTAAAATTCATTTATCCAAAGATAATTCCTTGATAAAATAACTTCTAATAAATATTTAATATTAGTCGAAAATTTTTGAATTGTAAGGTATACAATTTTTTACATCATTTTAAGAAATATAATATTACATGGAAAATTATAAAACTTGAGTAAAGTCAGTCGAATAGTTCCTGAAAAATCGAGCTTTTAAAATATGACTTTTCTGAAATTAAGATTTCTCAGGTATTATTCGACCGATTTTCCTTAAACTTTGTATTTTGCCATGTAAAATTATATTCTTTATAATGTAAAAAATTATTTGTCTTACAATTCAACATTTTTTGACAAATATTAAATAAAATAATTGAAAGTTATTTTTTTCAAGGGATTATCTTTGGAAAAAATGAATTTTATAAATGTGAGCAAAAAAATTTTGACGCTGCAGACCACTATACGGAAAAATAGTTGATGCAGCAGATCACAATACAGAAATATTTCCGAATAGAAGTTTTTTCATATAACAGGTATCTGGATATTGGACATTGTGCTGTATTTAATTTAATATCTCAACTAATAACATGCTGACACCAAAAATTTAATAACTATTTATTGAAGTGACATTTTGTCGACAGCAGAAATTATTTTCTTCATTTATTAATTAGTTATGTGCTAAACTGTAGTTAATTAACATGCCCCGTGGCAGAATTGCAGCTACACGGCGACAATGTTGCAGAACATTACAGAGTTCATGCAGAAGAATTTTTCTTTTGAAAAGTAAAAAAAATAATTTACTTTTCTTTTCTACAGAAATTTACAACATAATATTTGTAACATTACCTAATCAACGTAAAATTTATGTAATATTTAATCATGTATTTATATAATCACATTTGGACGCGCTGAATTTATGACGATGTTATCGTAAATCAATGTAATGTTTTAATTGTATTTTCAACATTTGTTGATATTGATTTTCACATGGTTTTTAAATATCCCAAAATATTTCAAACTATATGGAAAATTCAAATCATGCATTTGTGTAGTTACTTTTTAAGGCAATAATTCTATGGAATTTTTGGCAGTTATTGCTATTATTATTACCAATAATATTTATAAGTTATTATACAACAACCTAATCTCGAAACGAAACACACATTTGAGGAATTCGATTCGTGTGATTGATCTTTTTTTCTGCAATTACTACTTGGGATTTCATGATTTTTAATTGTGATGATTATTTACAAAATGTGAAGGAAATAATTTGTGCACTTCCCACCCCCAACAAAATGCTACTTGAATATCACCCATTTTGTTTGAATATAAAATTATTACATGTTCAATTTAAAAATATATATATGGTTATTTTTTGTAAACACAGAGCTTTTGTTATTTTAAATTCGTAACACATTTGTTTATTATTAAAAGTATCATGCAGAGAGATATTAGTGCTAGAGAGTTTTGTCGCAGATAGCTCGAAAAAAATTCTGCCACAGGATTCACATGTTGGTTACAAAATCCTATATATTGAATACCTGAAACAATTAAAGGGATCTTCAGGAACCATTAAAAAGTTTCAGAAAAAAATAATCTTTTTGTTAATTTTATAGTTTAATTTTTTTATTTGTCAGTAAGTGTATTTCAGAATATTTTCCTTAAAAAAAAAGTGAGATTAAACCTTAAAAGACTGATGTCCAGTCAAGATATTTACATTCAGGTAGCTTTAATAAGCTTTTACAAATATTAAATATTTGTTCAAAACCAAGTTTTGGGAATCCTGAGCAAAGCTTGTTTAAAAATAAAACATGCATATAATTAATGGAGTTACGGTAACGTGTAGAATTTTTTAAATAATAAAGTACAGTAATACCTCAATTATCCGAGCTAATTGGGACCTCGGATATCTCGGTTGATAGAAACCATGTATAAAAACCTTCCGTGCTTGTGAATTTAACTACTTATAAAGTAAAAACAATGGAACGTTTCTTAAATGATGTTTCACAGATAAAAGGTTTAAAAAGGAAATCAACTCTAGTGGTAAATTTTAAAAAGTAAAATGAATTTTTTTATTAACTATACTTAGTTAAATATTGAAAGACACATTTTCAAAAATAACACAAATCTCAAGAAAATACAACGACACGGACAACGTACTAAAATGTGTATAATTTTTTCGAAGCTCATTTTGTAAAGGAGAAAAAAATAAGGTAAAAAATATATAAAATTATACTTCGTTATTGCCTCGGTTAATCGAGGTTCTACTGTAATATAAAAATAACTTTCTGTTTGGTACGCTTTCATCCTGTCCTGTTTGCAACTGATACACTAATACTATGTATTATGTATCATTTAAAGTTAATGGAATACAAATTGAAATAAATTTTTTGGAGAAATATTTCTATATGAAGATTTCTTCTCTACAACTAAATACTTTTAGTTTTGCAAAATTTCACCAAATCATTAGTTACATGTTTAATATTGGATCAGTAATTCATTTAGGAAAATAGACTCCCTTTGTTGTTCGAAATATATTCGTTCAATTCAATGTAATAAAATATAGGGTGTTTTATAGACTTCCAAGACAGGGCAACTCCTTATTTTACTTGAGCAATTATCTATAACAAACATAACCAAATTCCTAGATTGGGTGAGGGTAATCATGGATTTGAGCACCCAGATCTACAGACAAAATACTTTTAGACCTTTTTTTTTGGACAATGAGACTATGTTTAATCCTTTCAATATAAACTTTAGACCACCTTTGTATTACTCAAAAGGAGGGTTCAACAAATAAGAGCATTGCTGTCTATAATTGTTTGATTTATTTAATTCACCATTACTTTATTCAAAATAAAACTATTTAGTTATACTTTGAATTAACATTGATTATATACATGATTAAACTTACAATAATTAAAGTAAAAGCAAAGTAAGTCTGTCAAATTAGTAACGACTACATTTACGTTACCGTTTTTTATTTAATTACAACTTGATTCTGATTTTGTACGAATGCTTTTCTGAATCACCCGTCCCCAAGGGGTTAAGGATAAAACTACACAAAATTTTAAAATCTGATTATTTATATATCTGATTCTTATAATATTCGAGCAATTCATGCCTTTTTCAAATATTTTTAAGTTGGCTAAAACTTCTGAAATTATACTTGTTTGAATAACCTAAATTAAATTCTGATCAATAATTTAAAATTTTTCTGCCCTCACTTTGTACTACAAAAAACAATAGCAAATTTTCTGTAATTTTCAGTGTATTTCATCACTTAATGTTAGATCAGAACTCACCACATAAAAAAGGCTGCACATAGAGTTCCACTTACACCCTCAACCAACCATTCAATTTTTTTGTGTGGTATTTACATTATATTTACAGTTTTTTACAAAGATTTTCAATGAAGTAAAANACAGATCAATTTATTTGGACTAAAATATATGAAAACAAACAAGAAGATGACATAATTTGCTGCCTGATTGTTGACATCACAAAACCTAAGACGCTGATTGGTTAAGGAAGAAAAAACTTGGATGGAAAGTAGAACATGCTCTACTATCGTCCAAGAAGTTGAACCAAGTTCTTGGATGTTTGTTTACACGATCAAAGCTCAAAGCAAAACAAGTTTCCATCAATCTCTGTCCAAGAAATTGGATCGTTTAAACAGGCCTTTAGTGCTAGAGAGTTTTGTCGCAGATAGCTTGAAAAAAATTCTGCCACAGGATTCACATGTTGGATACAAAATTCTATATATTGAATACCTGAAACAATTAAAGGGATCTTCAGGAACCATTAAAAAGTTTCAGAAAAAATAATCTTTTTCTTAATTTTATAGTTTAATTCTTTTATTTGTCACTAAGTGTATTTCAGAATATTTTCCTAAAAAAGAACTGAGATGAAACCTTAAAAGACTGATGTCCAGTCATTTACATTCAGGTATCTTTAATGAGCTTTTACAAATATTAAATATTTGTTCAAAACCAAGTTTTGGGAATCATGCGCAAAGCTTGTTTAAAAATAAAACGCGCATATAATTAATAGAGTTACTGTAACGTGTAGAATTTTTTAAATAATTAATATAAAAATAACCTTCTGTTTGGTACGCTTTCATTTTTAAGTCCTGTTTGCAACTGATACACCAATACTATGCATTATGTATCATTTAAAGTTAATTGAAATAAATTTTTTGGAGAAGTATTCTCCTATATGAAGATTTCATCTCTACAACTAAAAACTTTTAGTTTTGCAAAATTTCACCAAATCATTAGTTACATGTTGCATGTTTAATATTGGATCAGTAATTCATTTAGAAAAATAGACTCCCTTTGTTCTTTGAAATATATTCGTTCAATTCAATGTAATAAAATATAGGGTGTTTTATAGACTTCCAAGACAGGGCAACTCCTCATCTTACTTGAGCAATTATCTATAACAAACATAACCCAATTCTTAGATTGGGTGAGGGTAATCATGGATTTGAGAACTTAGACCTTTTTTTTTTTTGGACAATGAGACCACCCTTGTATTACTCAAGAGGGTTCAACAAATAAGAGCATTGCTGTCCTTAATAAAATCACACCCCTGATGTATGTCATTCACAATAGATGTGTGTTGCCATGCAGAGTTGGTCTAAAAAAATTAATGTTTCAGAATGCTTTAGGGCATAAGTTGCATACTGTACTAAGGACAAAACTGCACAAAGTTTTAAAATCTGATTATTTATATATCTGATTCTTATAATATTCGAGCAATTCATGCCTTTTTCAAATATTTTTAAGTTTGCTAAAACTTCTGAAATTATAATTATACTTGTTTGAATAACCTAAATTAAATTCTGATCAATTGAAAATTTTTCTGCCCTCACTTTATATTACAAAAAACAATAGCAAATTTTTTGTAATTTTCACTATATTTCATCACTTACTGTTAGATCAGAACTCACCACATAAAAAAGGCTGCACATAGAGTTCCACTTACACCCTCAACCAACCATAAAATTTTTGTGTGTTTTATTTACATTATATTTACAGTTTTTTACAAAGATTTTCAATGAAGTAAAATTTTTAGACTCATTGTATGGTTCCCTTCTTTTATACCCACTACTAATTTAAAATCTGTTTTTTCAAAGAAATGAAGCACAACCAATCTAGATTTAAGTTACTCCAATATATTCATTTCCAGATTCATGTTCTGATACTTAATTCAAATCCTCAGTCACAGTCCCTTTCCACAGTCTGTTACTTACTGTAAGACTGATATTTCTTTCATGTGTAAAATGTTAACATTTATGAATGATTTAATATCTTAGTTCATTTAAGGCGTGCAGAATTAGGAGAGGACATAACTCAGAAGAATTCCAATTAATGATTTTAAAGTAATCCAAAGATTAAAAGTTTATGTTTGGTAAAACAATTTCTAGTCAGTCTATACTATTTCTAAATCTGTCTAAATTTCAGACTGTTGATAACAATTATCCTTCTGAAATCAGACAAAATAACAGGATCTTGATTTGCCAAAGTCTTCTGAATAATGTCACAAAGTAATCGTATTTAAAATGCCCAGATATTGTTGGATGACAGGAGTTAGTTACGCTAAGAGTAAATGTTGTACTAATTTTTAACCTTTGGATTGCTTTGAAATCATTAACTAGGATTCTTGTGTGATATATAACTATAATTAGTCTGTAGTATTTACAACCTGTGGTTGTGTAAAAAAAGTTCTTATTTTACAGAAATGAATTAATTTTGAAACAGTACTTAATAAATTCTCATAGATGTATGAAATATTTTGAAACACAACAAATATTTATTAATCAATTTTTATTATAACAATAGTAAAACATTAGGTCCCTTGAGGTTTCTTAAATGAATGCATTTGTGATGTCTAGTACAGAGGAAGAAATCTTGTACTACATTTCCAGTAATATCTCAAAGTTTCCGTACAGTCAAACAAATTAGATTATTTTTTGATTCAATTATTTTTTACAATAATTATCACAGTATATATATGAAAATATTTATATGGCTTATTTAAAAAGTATTGTGTATTTTTTACAGGAAAGAAACATTGAAATTTAAAAAAATAGTTTATAGACTTCTAAATCAATTTCAACAGTTCATGCATGCTTAATTTTAAGTATATAAATAATGCATAATATTTTTAAAAAAAACCTTCAGTAAGCCTGTAAAAAATTAAACAATGAGCTTTTCACTGAAATAAAAAGATACTTTTTTATTTGCCAGATAAAATAAAATAATTTTATGATATTAATTTACCATAAAGTTTTTTAGTTAGAAGTTTTTGGTCCAAAAGAAATTTAATTTATTAGAAAATCAAACTGCTAGATTTAAGCTAAACTAAGTAATGTAAATCACTATTTTAAAGAACTTAAATTAACAATTATATTTGTTATAACTCCAATATATTTCTACCAAATTGTAACTGAAATATATGTATGAGGTTCACAATTGCTGAGGTTGTTTAGAAAGTAAAATATGAACTGCATAAATGTCTAAATTCTGCTTAAATATAATCTATGTGCCAATCTAATAACTACAACTATTTCTTAAATTAAGTTATTCTAATTATACCTAATACAAATTTATGTCTCCTGTTATGACTACAAAATATTTTAACTTTTATAAAAAGTTTTTCTGATTAAAAACATCTAGGTTATAAATGTACAGAGAATTTTAGATCTTAGTTTTAAATGCATAGATAAGTGTTCTAAACAGCATTAACTTGAGCAAAGTAATGCATCTTATAAAAAAAATTGATTAATATTTAGAAAAATCCTCCAAGTTAGTTTACATTTTTATAAAGAGAAAATATAATAAAAAAAGCTTTTAAAAATATAAATTTCCACAATTTTTACCAAAGAGAGCTTAGAATAAACCAAATTACATATATCTTAAAAGATCTTTAATTTTTATAAAATAATTAAATAATTCATATTTTTGCTTTCAAATGTTTTAAAATTTCTAAAATGTAATGTTTCTAATGGACAATTTTATATAAGTAAAACAAACCTCATAAAAAACAAATAATCACATTTTATATTGCACACAATTAACAGAAATTTACCTATTAGAACAACAAAAAATGCTAACTGAAAAAAAAAATGATATGTAAAGACTAATATACACTCAAAAGAATTCATGATGTTATTGAGCAAGGGGCAGCAAATGAAAGTATCAGACATTTCAATTGATAAATGGCTTTGCGTCAAGCTCTTTCCAAGGATACTTTAATGATTTCAAATAACTTTTATATCCAGTAACTAAATAAAGAAATCTATAAAAGACCTATTCAATTCCTACGTTTTAAGCCTCAATCTATCACACAAATTATACATCTAATGAATGACAACTAAATAAAACAAGAGGTCAATGAAAAAGAAAATCCATACTATGAAATGAATACTACATAAACACTTTCAAAAACACAATCTACAAAAATAAACCAATGTATAAGTGACTAATTTCACAAATGATCTATTACTATAAAAAGAATACACAACAATATTAATAAAATTAAGGATTACGTAAAAATGATTTATCCAGCCTTTCATAGTTTGGCACAGCTTAAGCACGGATTTTACTGAAATGGAAAATATGTTATGCATTTCATTTAGTTTAGAAAAAGTGCAAAAATATAAGATTCTTCAGAAGTTTATAATTAACAGGTATGAGAAATTTCCAACAGAAATATTAAAATTATTTAGGCAATGCTGGTAAATATATATAAAACACAAACTTAGAACACATGGACTAGATTTTGTTAATTTGAATTTGATTGAATGTCGCATTTAACAATCAGTTTTATATTTAATTCATTCATTTGTATTTTATCGACAAAAAAAAATAATCATTTGTCTTTGTACAAGAACGATAACATTTCACAGCACAAATCAAACTAAAAGTTACTTTACTTTATAAAAATTGCTTAAATATATTTTAAAAACAAGAAATAATGTGTGAAAATAAAATTTTTATGCAATAAAAATGCCACAGTAATTTTTATAGTACTAACAAATACAACAAACCAGAAAAGTTACACCTTTCTAAGAATTACAAATGCGAGATTAAAATAACGAAACTTTAAAAATAACTGAAATATATAAACATCTACAGTTGCTTTTCATTATACCTAGCAGTTGCTTCTCATTAAGCTTACTCAAGAGGGCCAAATTATTTATACACCCTGATGTATTACACGCTTTTTTTTTTGTCGTATAAAAAAAACAGTTCCATAAAACTATTTCCTATAAACTTGCACACCATGAGAAAAGCAATCTAATCGTTGTGCTTTACATAGTAAAATGGACGTTTTCAGATTATCTTGCTGCACAGTCTTCTTCAGTCATTTGGTTGCTCGAGTTACTTTCATCTGTAATAACAACAGATTGTTTGGAAGAGTCCGAGTCCTTGAGTTGCCTTTTCTCAAATTCAGCTCTAAAATTGTCAATATCTTGCTGACTAATAAAAATAAAAGAATATCAGTTTTTGGAATTCTAAATAATACTTTGTTAATTTAAATTAGACAGCAAAATAACTACCTCAATAAATGCAATACTTTGAACAGGAATCTAATGCTTATAAAGCTGTTTTTGAAAATATAATAGTTTTTATTTAACAGTCTGGTGTTGCCACTATATTTTTTATCCTACATACTAGACTTTGAAAATATCTTAAGACAAAAAGATTACAAACAAATAGAATTTAACTGCATGGAAAAAAAATTTATCAAAAATGTTACAAGTCCTTTAGATCAGTTCGCATCATTATATACTGGTCCACTGACAATATACCTGGTCCTCTTGAAATTTAACATTAAGTGTATTTGTACATCACTTGAAATCATTTTCATGCTTCACAATTAAATCACATTTATTAATCTATTTTGAATAAAACTTGTTTATTTAAAGCAAATTGATTTCATAATTGAATAAAAAAATACACTTATCTTGTATAAAATAATAATAATAAATGCTCAAAATTGCAGCTATCATCCAAATAATTCAAAAAAACAAATATCAATATTAAATAATGCAGGCTGTGCAATATATTTTGTTATTTTCTATATCGAATTCCAGTCATTCGTAATTTGTCAATCACTTATTCCAAAATACTTATAATATACTCCGATATACATATATGAATTCAAAATACTTTCACTTATTTATTCTCATACAGGATATCCTTTTCTTAATTCAATGATTTTTTTCGAAGGTGCTTAAATTCATTAAAATAGCATTTTGTACCTCAAAATAAAAACATAAACCTCAAAAATGAATAAAATTAACTAAGTCCACAAAAGTGCTATGTTAAATTATTCCAGTACACCTTGATCTTTATACCATTCTAAACAAATGAATTGCTGAACTATCAAATAACGCATTGGCAGGGTTGCCACGAAAAAAATTGAACAATATAGTTGCTTTTAGTAGCCTAAAGCATGAAAATAGTTGCCGAAAACTATGAAAATTGCCTATTGCCTAAATAATTAAAAAATAAGACTAAAATTTTTATAAATGGCTTAGTTGTCATTTATTATGATCCATTTAGTCAAGTTGGTGGCAAATATGATAATTTTGATATAAACCTTAGTATTCTAGCATTAAATTTTTATATAAAAAAAATTAGCATATATTTGCCCAAAATTAAATACTTTTAAATACTAAAAAATCATTCAAAAAATATATTTTTTCATTAAAAAAAACATACTTTTTCTAAAAAAATTTCAGTTTAACCAATAATTGATTTAGCAAATATATATATATATATATTGTGAAAAGTGATTATTTAAATTCGAAATCCACGCAGTGTGATATATTAAAAATTGAGTTTTTTAAAATTGTGCAGAATTTTGAAGCAATAACTGTTGAAAAGTCGATTGGGAAACAAAATAGATTCACTATGGAATCTGTGCTAATTGAGAGCATTAAAAAGTGATGACTCAAATTAGCAATTCCAAATGTTTTTATGTTTAAAGAGAAAAAAAAAATTCATTATGTTCAGAAGCTACCATATGCCACAGGTTGTCAACCCAATTTATGCTTAAAAAAACATTGCTAGCACAGAAAAGTCTCCCAATAGTCTCCTTTTCCTGAAAATAGTTGTTTTTTTAGACTTTTCAAGCAAAAAAAAGTTGCCATGGTTGCCTCAGGTCGAAAATAGTCGCCTGTGGTAACCCTAGATTGGTGATTACACAAAGCTGTGTTACTTTTACAGATTATTATTTTGAAGTGGTTGAAGGGGAGTTTTAGTGATCTCGGACCAGTAGACCACCAATATGCGCATGTAAGCTGAGATTTATATTTTTAAAGGGCAGCAATAGAAAACAAATTTACTAATGCCTTGATTCTTTTTAAATAAAATAGCAAAATACCCACAATTTTCATGAAATGTAAGACTTGTAGATTATACCAAGAATGAAAACAAAAGAAATTATAGTCTACAAACCCATCATCAGACTGAAACTATTGGGATTGATATATCATATTAATAGCAATTTTTGCACAGGTAAGGTAGATAAAAATTGTATACTGAAAAATTTCTGTAGTTTTAATTTAATCCATATTTTATACCATATGCATAAAAAATGGAATAAATGCCCTTGCTTGTAAAACAAAAGCCTACAACCCAGAATTTTTTGAATTAGATAAAAAAGGAAAAAAAAATTTTAAGAAAAAGTCTAAAATAAAAAATTGCAGATGCTACGATATTCAACAACTCTCACTGCTTTGTTGCAGGTGTTATTAGGAGAACTTAATCAGAACAGATAATTTAAAGTTTCATCATTAAATAAAGAATAGCATTTACCTTATTTGGACAAACAAAATTCCATTTATGATATTTAGCATATCTAATACACTGCTTAGAGAAGGTGGCTGAATCTGGAAAAGAGTACAAGGAATAAAATATCATAAACACTTAGAAAAAATACATTGATAAAGTCTTAATAAAGTAGAAACACTTTGTAATCATAAACTGGAAAGTTTATCTGTATTGATAAATGTTCACCAAATTTTTGAAATTGGGCACATTATTTTTTTTTTAAATACAAATAGCAAAACCCTCTTGCTATTTATTAACTACTGTCACTCTTAAAGTTTGAGCACAATGTTGAAAACTCATCTGTTTAAAGTCATTGTTCATAAATAATATTTCCCTAGTAATGGAGAATGTACAAATCGGTGTTAATTTTTCCAACATATTGCTGCAACTTTTCACATTTTGCTATACATGATGACAGAACAGGATTCATGCTTTTTCCAAACTTTTTGCACACGCCTTCCAGCCCTGTGGCAGAAACACGGCGACACAGCGACATTGTCGCAGAAAGCGACTGAGTTCTTGCAGAAAGATTTTTTTTATTTGGGAAATAAAAATTTTTGGTTTGCTACAAACCAAAGTTCTCAAAATAAATTCTGCAGAAACAGAAGCTGTTTTACCAACAAACAAAAAAAACATTTTCTTCAGAAACAAAAAATTTCTGCAGAAGCAATAATGGTTCTGCAAAATTTTTTTCTCACAGAATTGTTTTAAATATTTTTTTTTTCTAGCGTACCGCGGAAGGAGAAAGCGCTCGTAATTCTCNTATCCTTTTTCTCGATGTTCTATCGAAAACAGGGAGTGCTAGTACGGAATTTAAAGCTTTAACAGCCTGAGTAGTTCCGTACTTTAAGGAATTGGCGATTAGGGGGATGTCTCCTAATTTTAGTGCCATGATTAATTAACAATGAAAATTTAAACAAATCGAAATTAGATAAGCAGAGATTAAGAATTAAACAATTCAAAACAAATTAATGCGGAAATTGGAACTGTTCAAAATTACTAATCTTTTGAATTCAAATATCGTCCAGAAGAAGAACTTCATTTATTGCCTTTAACACAACACATCTGTTTGTTAACGTCTTAATGCAATTCATCAAAATAAAATGTCGAACGTCTTTGGTGCATTTTTTTTTTAGACAGCTTCAGGTATCTAGGAGTATTGTTGTCTTAGGATTGCAGGAGGGAAGGCCGAGCCCCCAAAATATGGGGAAAGGCAAGGAGCATCAGAACTACGTTAAGTAACATTTATTCACATATAGGACATAACACTGGACAATACACAAAATACAAGACACTTAACTTATTAGAAGAGGCCGTCTGCCTCATCGGCTACCATCACATACAATGTGTGTGAGGAGGGAAGGGCGTGCGCCATGTTATGCGTGGGGAAGGTGCGCAATGATATATGTACGTGTGCATGACGTATGGAATACGCTTCCTACATATATAAATATTTTTCCAAGCTAACTGAACAAACGAAGTACTTGATTAATTTCCATTTTATTCTTCTTACAGATCAAGCTTTTATTTGCAAAATAAAAACAAAATTTTTAATACAGATTCTTAAAAATATGATGCAGATAAATTGTAGAAACTCTCAAATAAAAAGTTTAAAAAATTGCAAATGAAAATAAAGTTTAAAGATAATACCAATCTGAACTTTATTATAATGCAAGAGAATTATCTTACTTGAATAGGTGGAAGAATAGCAGTCGAGTTTCCTTTATAAATTTCATTCATCTTTTTTTGTAATACCACAGCCTGCTGTGTTAAATGACGTAAACATTCAGAACTTTCTTTGGTTTTCTCATGATTTTCTCCAAGCTATTTTATAAAAGAAATTCAATAAAAGCAAGATTAACTAAGCAAATACAAATAAAAAATTTAAAATAAGCTTAAATCAATAAAAATGAACATTACCTGCTGCTTATAAATAGCATATGTTTCCTTTTCATTTTGCAAAGCACCTCTAAATTCACCCATGCAAGATTGAGTCCTGGCTACTAAGTGATAGCTTACAGCTACTTTCAAACTCTTGCCACCATAATAGCTATAAAATTTGAAAGTTTGTAACAATAAAGTATTAAAACATTAACACTTGAAACATTGCAATTCAACCTTTTTACATTCATTAGGTCTATTTTTCTATTAGAACAAAATACATGCTATATTATTTTTTAATAAATTCCACAAAAAAAACTCAATTTATTTTATAAGAAGTGATATATATACAGTCACAGAATATTTTATATTCATAGAAATAAATTCATAAATAAGTTTAAATGCTTCAGACATTGTGATCTCTACTATAACCCGCAATTCAATGAATCGAACAAATCCTTAACAATGCCCTTTAAGATCAAAAATACCTATGAAACAAATTTTAAAAAAATCTTTCAATTTTAAATATTTATTTAAAAATGCATAGTTTTATTAAAATATGCAGATCATAAGAAATTGAGATGCAATTTTGATTTAAGTTCTAAACAAATGTTAAAATTACAAAAGACTAAGGCTAAGAGTTGTGAAAGGCAAAAATGTTGAAAAACTGTCATTGTAAAAAAACTACCTGTAACCAAAAAAAATTTCAAACCTTATGAAACCTTGAAAATAAACAGCACTATGATAATATGAAATAATTTATAATTTTTACTTTCAATGGTACAATTATTTTACAAAAGTGTATTTACTTTATTTTCAATGTTATTTGATTAAAATCTTGAAAAAAAATATATACATAATGCATTAACCTGATGATGTAGTTTGTTTTTTGTAGTCATTTTGTCAGCAAATTACTTACACAATTTTCATATATAGCTGCACCAATTCTACATGATTTTAAAATAAAAAACTCCCATATTTTAGGGTACTATTAAAAATAATTTAAATTAGCATTAGAGCATTTCACTGTTATGCATGCTATAAACAATATTTAAAGTATCAATATTTTTAGCATATTGATAGAAATTTTCAATAGACAAAATTTAAGATTTAAAAAACACAAAGGTTTATAAATTCAAAATTGAGAGGAACATTTAGTTTTAGTGTAGTGGCCATTATATTTTTAAGAAAGTTTATGGACAATATTTATTAAATAGTATCCAAAATGAAATATTAATAAAGCCAACAGTTATCTACATCTCGTAACTTCAATTACAAAAAATTAACATATAGAATTGTATTTGTACATACAATTTCAAAAAAGCAAAAAATCAAAACTAATATTAGACAGAATAAATTTTTCAAACACTAGAATTTAAACATTTAAAATCCATATAAAATTTGAAAAAGAGACAAAGTCAAAATTTCAAGAAAATTAGTAATAAGAAATTACTCACTTAATATTTAATTTTAAGGCATTTTCTAGGAATCTTAATGATAAATCATATTCACCAACTGCATGTAAAATTAGTCCAATATTACTCTGAAATGTAAGAAAACATAGATAAAATAAAGTAGTTTAGTCCAAAAAATAATAAACTTCTAATAGCAAACTATCACTTACATCTAAAACTGCCATCTCAGGATGATTTTCTCCACAAACTAATAAACTCAAATATCTAGCACGATATAGGAGTTTCAAAGCTGTAGTTATTTGAGAGTTGGCAAAACAATATAATGCAAGGTGTGTCTAAAAAGATAAGTAAATTGTATGCAAATTCAATTTTTCCCAGTACTTAAAATTTAAATGATATTCATTGCTTAAGAGAAATTTAAAACCAAAGAACATACGTATTCAGAGATTGTATATGCATGGTCGATTCCATTAACCCTTTCACTCATGAGTACAGCTTTTTGCTGGAATGCCATAGCCTATATCAATAAAAATTATTCTGAATGAGAAATAATAGAACTAGGTCACAACAAGTATAAACAAAACTCAAAATCTTAACATTTTTCAAAACAATTCATAACATATAACCAAACTTTTTAGTGATAATGGATTTTAAATATAACTTATTTGTGCTTATGCACTGAGTAAAAGTGCAGCGATTTTATTTTTAACCAGTTTTTTAACAGATTTCATTTTTAACTCATTTTCAAACAATTTTTCTTAAAGTAATAATTTATATTTTATTTTAATTAAAAATAATTGGTTTTATTTCATTAAATCATAATATAAAAACTATAAAAAGAACTAGTATTTTATTTAAGAATTAGTGACAATTTATCAAGATTTAGTATTTAATCTGATAATTGACAAAGAATTCATAATTCCAATAAATAATTTCTCATTAAGACAGCTTGGTTTATATTGGATCTGTGGTAATAATAGCAAATTTCTGGTTAACTATTGTTAATAGTAATTAATGTAAAAAACAATGCTTATTTACAACATCCATCAAATTGTGCTGCTATTCTGTGAATTTTTCCTTTATTTTTTACTGCAACAAATATGTAGAAAAAAAGTTTTTGAAACATAACCTAATTTCAAACAGAGTAACCAAGATTATTTTGAGTTAGTTCTGAGAATGAACAATTGAAAAATATTAAGTGACACACTGTTATCAAGCCTTTGAACCAAGCAGATTGGTGTTAAAAGATTTGAGGGGGAGGGACTTATTAAAGTTGGATTTTTAAAAAAATTTCAGGGAGAGGAGAGTTTTATTAATACACAGTGTCTATTCAGAAACTTGGCTCTGATAAAACATTTCACATTCAAATAATTTACTAATATGCTTGGAAATAGCTTATAGCAAAATGTAAAGAACATTAATTTTTAAACAAGAAAAGCACTTACCTCAGCATGGTCACCCATTATGTAATTCAATCTAGCTAACATTCGAAGACATTGTGCTATTTCAGGATGTAAAGCTCCATACACGTTATTCAGTAGATTTAAGGCCTCTGTTATAAGTTCATACCCTTCTTTCAAATAGCCTTGTTGAATTTTTGTTTGACCCGTTGTATAAAAGTTATATGCATCAGTTGCCTAAAAATTACAAATAAAATAAGCATAAAATACAAGATTTAAATTATGAATAATATTATTTGCATGTTATTCCAGAAAAAAATTATGAAATTTAACTATTGTATAATAAATTAAGAATTTCCTTTACTATAATCGGAATACTATAATCATAATACTTTATTATTTAATAAAAATTATTTCACAAAATAAAGTTTTTTTTTTAAATTATTATTTAAGGGAACTTAGGTATTTTGTTTCAAATACAGTACAATATCTTTTCTCTGTATTAACAAAATTTAAAAATGGCTCTTTCCAATTTTTTTAAAACTCCAGGCAGTTTTATAAATAGATTCAAAATTATAAAAGTTTTGATATGAAATTTTAAATGCATAATTTTGTTAAAATTTAATAAGAATTACAACAGTAAGAAAATAATATATGTACGGTTAGTTTTTTCTACTTAAAAATCACATAAATTATGTAGTAACATAAATTAAAAAGTGAGGACAGTAGCAAAAGGCAATACAATTTCCATACGAAGAAAATTACAAACTTAAATAAACTTTGAAAGTAACTTTAAATGTATAGAAACTGCTATAATTTATAATTTAATGCCACATTTTTCAAAAGGACATCAACACTTACTCTGGGGTTAATGTGCTTAACAACCGGAAAGATATTCAAAATATCATCTTCTGTAAATGTAGGTTTATTTCTGTGGTCAAAATTATATTCTCTAAGCAGCAGTTGGATACCAGTCTTAACACAAAATGAATGTAAAATTGTTAATTTTCTGAATTGAAACTTCTCAACTATGGCATCAATAGAATCGTAAGGAAGTTCCCAAGCATAGTATGATAATAGTTCATTGCTTAAATTAGTCCAAAACATTTTAGTTGTTAGTGAAGCCCATTCGTTGTTATCTAAAACAATAGAATATCAGTTAAATAAGAAATTATGTAATTTATAAAAAGCATAAAACATAGCTGCCAACTTGTTAAAAACAAAAAGAGGAAAACAACGCATGATAAAATCAGGGGTGATTGTGACAAAGTGAAAAAACCTGAAAATTGTGTGTGCAAAAAATGGATATCAATGGAAATGGATATAAATAATTTAGATCTTCAGTTAAATATTTAGCAGTTTTTCATATTTTTTAAAACAGAATAGATAAATTCTACAAAGATATTTTAGCTTCATTACTACCACTAAAAATATTACTAAATCATCAAAGTAAATTGCATTGATAATAAAATGTGTTGATAATCATGGTTATATTAATGGCTTAGTTTCATTATTCAAATAAATGGTATTTATTGATGCAGCAAGACTACAAATAATTTTTAAAAAAATTATCAAAAACTTAATTAAGTTTAAAATAACAAACTTAAACCTTGAAAAAACATAAAACTCTAAAAAAAATTCAGTGGGTTGGGTTTTTTTCCAACTCTGGGGTCAGTCAGAAAAAAAAGTATGTTTATTCAGACAAAGTACGTTTTTGAGTCTGATTTCGTAATTTTAAAATATCATCTGCACTAACTAATTAGCAATTTTTAAGGTTACCTCCTCGAACCACTAAAATTGAGTTCAACACAGTTATGAGACAAATTTCTTGCTGAATTTTTATTTAAAAAACTTAAAGAAAAAGAACTTTAAAGCTTTTCGAAACGAGGAATTTAAAGGTTGGTTCTGATATTTTAACGGCTAAGTACAAAAGTACATTACAACAGGTAAAAAAAAATTTCAAACACATTCCTTGCCATTATTCCTTGTCAACAAATTTCTACTAATCTATAAAATATATAAATCCTAAAATCTATAAATGCATTGCAGCATATAACATGCTTGACTTTTTAATTTTTTGCCAAAACAGAGGTTTTCTAAAATAGACTGTTGGTAATAAAATACATTTGACAATAAAATACATCTAAAAAAAATACATTTACATACCCCACCAAAAATACTCAAAGATAGTCACTTAGCACCCTCACCTACTGAGATCTGCAATTCTTTAAGTTTTGGAAAAATTAAAATTGTTTAGTTAAAAATGATCATTGCTCAAGATCTTAATTTCGTTCAAATATGGCACTTAAGAGCCTTCATTACTAGGTTTTACAATCACTTTCAGCAACCTAATGGCAGGCAAAAACTTCTATCTTCATTTTTGAAAAAAATATTATTTTTAACTCCCATGTTTAGATTAAAATAATTTTTAGCCGTGTGTGTATAGAATGGGATAATATAAAGTAGATTATAAATTAAATTTGGCAGATTAGAAAACTAATTTCAATGTTATTAACAAAACATTAAAAATATTTGAACATAAGATTCGTTCATTTTGCAGAATTTTTGATAAATTGCACAAAAAAAAAAAAAAAAAAAAAAAAAAAAAAAAAAAAAAAAAAAAAGAATTTCTGGACATATCTTTTCTACAAAAATGAATATATTTACCTTCAAAACGCAAAGGATTCTGTTTCCCCTTTCGTTTTCCTTTCTTCTTGTACTTTACTTGCAACTGCTGAACAAATAAGTTATTAACAAAACAATAAAATTGTGAGAAAAAAATTAGATATATATATCAATGAGGAAAAATAGCTTCAGTTGCACTATTCTCAAGATGGAATTTTAATAACATGCATGAAAAAGAAAAAAACAAAATCACAATTCATAACTGCTTTATTTTAAATTTCAAAATTTAAATTTTAGACTCATATGAAATATTATCCATAAATAAAAAATATCTTTTTAAATTAATAATTTTTAGCTATAACAAAATTTAAATAACGCATAATTAAGCATTCCAGAAGGTTGAGAGGATTGCAATTGGTTAAGAAATTAATTGTATAACTTCCTAATGCATTGCAAGTGACATAAAAATGAATTCAATTTGGTAAAAATGAAAGCAAAGAGAATAACAAATAAAAAAGAATTTGCATTTGATGGGTTAGAGAATTACAGATTGGCTCAATCTAAAAGTTAGAAATTTTAAAGGGAAAAAAACAAAGATAAATCCTGAAAATATTCTTTTATTTTGAACATGCATGGTATGAACTCATAGCACTGATAAGATAAAGGTGTTTCCTATACATTATATGCAGATATTAAATATTTAGACACAATCGTGATTTATATAACTCTCAAAAATTTAAAAGTAACTGATATCAGGGAGACAGCAAAATTAAAAATCAATTGCAAAAGGTAGAAAATATATCACATACTAAAAGTCTTGACAGGGTGACTAAGCCCAAGCTTCATTTAAGGCTATAAAGGCATACATTAAAAACAGATGTCACAATAAGGCTTAAAGAAGTTCTTTAAAGCTCTTTCTCAAATATTAAAAAAAATATGTATATTAAAAAAGCTTCAATTTAAGTGCATAAAACAATGTATGTTATCTTGATAGTATAGTCATATCTTGATTGTATAATATCTTGTATAACACCTTATACTTATGTATACTACATTATGCTTATCTCTATCTTAATGCTTAATCTATAGAGAAATAGATTAAGCTTTTAAAAAGTTATTTAACTTTGTAAAAAGTGCAAATTCAGTAAGATTCTTCAACTTAAAAAAAAATTATTAAATTCAATGATAAATAATTGTACAATTCTTAACAGTAATAAAAAAATATTTTTTTTATTTGCTATAAATGTTATTTTATAAGACTGAGCTTTTTAAGAACAAGTTAAAGATCTATACCAAATAAGATACTATGAATTCATAGATTTTTAAAAACAAATTTAAAATAAATTAACGATGATGCAATACAACACACATAAAATAAAAATATATCTCACGTCATCAGATGAAACAGGGTTAGGTAGCGATGTACACGATGATAAAAAGCAATTTAAGAAGTGACTAACGGCATTAGAAAGAAACATAGTTTCTACTCCTTGAATGTAAAGTGAAAACAAATGCTTGGCACTACGGGTGATGAGTTCTAACACAATGATTTGCTATGTAAAGAAAAAGGGAAGAAATTAAGATCAGGAAATATTTAAATCTAGACTAAATAGACTGTTTAAATGAATAAAGAAAATTTGAAAACACATACATGAACGTATTGAAGTTGAGGTGCTTTGGCAACCATTTCAGCAAGCTTACCTAAATATCTAATACTGATTCCTCTAAAAAATTATAATTAATATAAATTTCTGGAAAAAACATACAGCAGAAAAATTGAAGACAAGACATGAAAAATAGTAATTTTTAAATACAAGAAATAAAAGTTCAATTTTAGATCATATAAAGGTTATTGCAAAGTTTGTCACCATGTTTATTTTCTTAAGGAGAGATAAATTTTAAAATTTTTGATGTCCTTTCTTTTGTAAGCATTTGTTTTCTAAATTAAGAGTAAATTCCAAATTACTCATATTTATTGGTATTTTATTTTCCTTTTAAAACTGTCGTTGAACAGTAGACTCATTTTTTGGGTTTACGACTACTAATGTTCAAACACCATAGCCTTGTAATTTCGAACCCAATACAGAAGACAAGGAAAGTTCAAGATCAAGTATTGGGAGGAATTTGCCTTTGTGGAGTACTTTTTGATGGAACTAACCCGCATTTGCGTTAAATGGAGGAAAACCACAAAACCCTCCCACAGTTAGCCTGATTGCAAGGGGACTAACCCCTAATTCATCTACCACAGAGGATATTTTAAGTCACTACCGTATTTTTCGGCGAAAGCGCCGCTTCGTCACAAGCGCCGCACCTCGATAAAAATGAATTTTTTAAAAAAAAAGTTATTGTAAGCGCCGCAATGGCCATGAACCGCGTATATCAGCATCCTTTCAGAAGAGACCTTTAGATTACCATTTAGAATATCTGTATAATAAAAAATTAAATTTTTTTATGGATTTCATAAAATAAAGTTTTAATTTCTAAATTATAATAAAAAATTTCTTTTTCAGCAAAAAAAAGCAACAAAAAAAGTTTTCTCTTTCAGCAAAAAAAAAGAAAACAAAACTATATAAAATAAAGTTGTTCTTACNTAAGCTGGGGGTGGATACAAGATGCATACCTTTTAAATTTTCTCCTTATGCGATGTTTTTTTAAAATTATTATTTCGTTTATTTATTTTCTTACAGGCTGCTGCCAAAAAGTTTGCTAAGAATTGGCGATGTTCTGCAGCAGATCGCGATATGGGCGAATATTTCGTCGACTTCGTTATTAATTTTTTTAAATAGTCTTTCTCTCAGAAAATTATTCCATCTTAAATAACTTTCATTGACAAATTTTTCTGCTACTAAGAAATATTTCGTCGGAAGCGCCGCTGCATCGGAAGCGCCGCATGTATGAAAAAAACAACTTTTTTTTCGATAGCGCCGCGGCTCTTCCGCCGAAAAATACGGTACTGTGGCTAGTGCCATCCAGATGCAGAATTTGTATCCACCAGTAATCGCTGGAATTCGAACCCGGTGCACCTCATTGGAAGGCAAACGCTCTATCCCCTGAGCCATCACGCTCTAAAAATATGAGCCTCCTGTTAAATGAACAATGTACGGTTAAAGAGTAAAAGTCCTCTCCCTTTATTTTTTTTAATTAGTTTAATGCTTATATCATAAACATAATATACACATCCAAACCAGGAATTAGAATGAATCTTCTATAACATTTTAAAATAAAAAAATTTCAGTTATTCAAACTGTAACAAGAGGGACCTTTATTTAAAACATCTTACCGTCCATGTAAAGCTTCAGTAAGTGTAACACCATCAATGGGAGATGTCGAATGATCCAAACAGTCTCTTATCTAGAAAATAAAGTTCATTAAAAAAAAAACTTTATTATAAAAGCAGAATATAAAACAAAGAGATAGGGAAAATCTAGCAGAACAAATCAAAACTAATTTAAAAAAACTATAAGAATATTTAAACAGATTAACTTCCTTAAAAAATTTAATTCCTTTATTAACAATATCATACTTTTTTCTAAGGTCTATATTTTAGTGCATTTTTAAAACCTATATGAAAAATGACTTATCGACTAAGAATAAATAAAAAGTATTCAGTTATGCCACTATTATTGTTCAAAAATGCTACATTTCAAAAAAATACATTATAAATACATTGGGATAACTTTAACAGTTATAAGGCATTTAATATAGTTTCAACAGCAGCCATTCTTTGTACATAATAAAATTTTAAAAATAAAACAAAACTAAAAAAAAAAAAAAAAAAAAAAAAAAAAAAAAAAAAAAAATACAGTTAATTGTACAAAAATTTCTAACAAAAAAGTAAATATTTGTCAACAAAATTTTTCTACTGAGTATTAAAAATCATCTTTCACTATTCATTTATCAAAACAAAATAATTCTCTCAAAGTTATTTTTCCATGTTAAATTAATTTAAAAATGTAAAATTAATTTCATTGTTAAATTAATTTCCATGTAAAATTAATTTCCATGCTATTTTAATCTATTTTAGTGAAAAGATAAAAACTAAGAAAAATTCAAATGGAAATTTTTGGTACTTAAATTATTAAACAATCATTTCTATAGACATGCCATCTTCATGAAACTTCGGACAAATGGTCCTCATTTTAGATAAATTTATTCTCAATTCATATCTAATAAATTACCTTTTTGAACGGAAATTTTTTTTTAATTAATAGTTTGCAAAGAATTATATGTTAATAACATATCATTTAAATGCTTTTATAACATAAAACTGAGAATTTGAAGATCTTAACTAAGTCATAAAATATAAAAATTGCAAGAGAACAAGATAAAATTTGAAAAGATAGTTGTATACTTTGCAAAAATACTAGAAGTAGATTAGGAAAAAAAAAGGTCAACTTACAAAACCAGGTATTTGATTTGTTAGTAAAAATTCTGCCGCATCCTTAACAAGCTGCTTTTCCTTCAAAAACTTTTCACTCTGAAATATTAAAGCAAGAAAATGTGATAAAACATGCTAGAAAAAAATATATAAAATAAAAAATATATATTGATGAAAAAATAAACATTTTTAAGCTATGTAACAAAAGTTAACATTCTTCATTCTTTTTATAATATCAATCAATTCATTAAGATTTATTTCATCACTTAATTATTCAATTAACATGACAACTAGTACAAAACAAATTTATTACTTTTACAAATTTATTACTTTATTTATTACTTTGTTTATTTTTAGTATTACTCTTAACCAAGCTAAACTTGGTTATTTGCTCCTGACAAAAGATATTTTTTAGGCTCAGAGAAACACTTAATTGAACATGAACATTTAAATTTCCGAAAAAAATATTAAATAAAAATTTAATTTTTAAATTGAATTTATAGAAAAGAAAGTAACCTAACTTTTCTCTTAAAATGCTTTTTTTTAATCATACTAAACTAATTTTATAAATTATCTTTAAAGTATAGAATCATCAATTGCCTTATTGATATTGTGCTTTATTAATAGGATTAATTAATTCAACACTTTAAAACTCAAAGGTTTACAATTTCAATACAGTAAAACTTATGTAAGTTGACCACTTGTGGTGCATTGTTTTAGTGGTCAAGTTAGACAAGTGGTCAAGTTATAGAGGGAGTGGGTCATTGTTTACTTTTTCGTTTCCTATATCAAGTTGCTATTTATTTATTTATTTTTTTACTTGACTTAAAAATTTTATTCAGAAAATATGCAAATGAATATTGTAAGAAATGTGTTTAATCCTGAATGAACTTCAATTTGATACACATAATTCTAATATTTAACTAATTTTTTTTAAAAAAATTATTTCGTTAGTTATGCATGCGAAGTGTTTAATAAATATAATTTCTTAAAATATCAGAACACGAAAACATGTAATTTGAAAACTTTAACAAAATAAAATTATTTGAACACTTTAAAATTTATTTACTACACTTAAAGATCAAAGACCATAAATAAAGGATCAAAGCATATTTCAGAGCATTCATTTATTCAAATGCTCACTATTGCAACTGGAAGAGCAACTTTTCAACTAACACACCTGTTTTCAATGAACGGATGAAAGAAATGGTCAAAAGCTGACCCCTTACAGTTTCCCCTGATGGTCAACTCACAAAAGGGTTTAGATTAGCTTTTTACACTATTTCACCAAACAAGTGAAATTTTAACATACATTGCCAAAATGACAGAAAATTTTCTGAATTTTTTTTTCTGGTCAACTTATGAGGGTTTTAGAATAGAATTTCATAATACTCCTAGACAAAATTGACTTATTTCAGTGGTCAACATACAAGATAGACAGGTGGTCAAGTTACAAAGGTTTTGCTTCTTTATATTATATAGGAAAAATTCCGTTCTTGATAATTGAGGTCAACTTATGCAGGTGCCCAACTTACAAAGGTTGGTCAACTTGGCAGGTTTCACTGTATATATTATATCTACAATCGAAAATAGAAATTCTAGTATCCCTATCATTTACAAAGTAAAAATATACTAAGATTAATATTAATAGAATCTTTTGTTTGTGTAAAAGTCTCTCTCTGAAGTACCATAAAAGAATTATCTGAAAATAGAAGCATAAGTCAAGAATTAAAATTAATCCTTGAATGAACTATTGATCGAAATTAAGATGAAGAGTTTAATATTTTAATTTATAAATAATATTTTGGGTTCACCATTTCCCCAATCGGCTGTTTTAATTCACTCACAAACCAAGCCATTAAATGCAATACTCTATTCTGTATATTTTTTAATTTTAATCCATCTTAACTGGACAGAAACAAAAACTAATAAATGAGTAAAATTACTTCGGATAAAAACTGAATAACAGCTTATTTCTGAAAAAGTTGACACAAAAACGACTATGTAACAATATAGAAGTTGATTAAAAAATTACAGCGCCTTATGTTTTGCTCGTGGAATACATATAACTTTAATTTAAAACTTTTCGATTCAATCTTTTTAAAAATAAAAACTAAGATTATAAGACAGAATTGCTTACAAAAAATGTTAAGCAACTTTTTTCAAATAAAGCATTTATAAGACTTTTACCCTTTTAGAATCTTAAGAAATTTCAAAGGTTTTAGCAATGGAACGTTTCATGTGTTAAACATGTACGAAATTAAACATGCTTCACACATAACGGCAGAGGTTTTTGGCGCATCCCTACTTATAAAAAAAAAATTACATTTCGGCTTTTAAAATGAAATTCTTTAAAAATAATTTTAAAAGTTGTGGTACTGAAAATTTATTATAAAAATAAGATTCTTAAATAGTTTGTGTAAAAAATAAATTAATAGATAAAAGAAAAAATTCATACTTGAGAGTTAGGATGCCTCACACCAGGTGAGTAAACATCTGGATTAAATCTGATATCAAACTCTAAAACAGGAAATATTCATCAATACACATAATGTAAAAAAATTATGACTAAATAGTTTTGTATCCTAAGACAACATATTACCTGTTTCTTTTAATGAACCTACAGCTATTGCAGATTTCTTTATAACTTCTCTGGTACTATCAACTATAAAACAAATTTACTTATATATTGTGGATTAAAAAACTAATAATTAAGCAGGATGTTAACTACATTTTAAAAACTTTAGTTAGAGTTTAATAATATGATAGAATAAAAACAAAATATTTAAAAAGTCATAATTTAGAAAGTTCTAATTATGTTGACTTGACTTTTGTAAATAAGCTTATATTGCAATAAACAAATAAAAAAATAATACATACAAAAATTCATGAATTGTAAGCCTTTGATAAAATATTCTGTGAAATAATAACTGTAGGATAATATTATTTATGTACAAAACTGTTAAGACTTACTTTCAGATTTATCTTTATTTGTTATAGACTCTACAATCTTTTTATATTCATCAGCTTCTAAATTTATTTTACCATCTTCAGAATCATTAATAGTAGGCACTTCATTCAACATATTCTTTTCACCTGTCTCTTCATCAGAATTAGTTTTTACTTCCTCTATGTTTGGTGCAGAGGCATCTTCTTTTTCTGGCTTCTGTAAGAAATTATTTTTAACATTTAAAAAGGTCAAACAAGAAGAATTTTCAAAAATTCATAAAAGTTAAGAGAACATTTATGTTATTTCTGGAATACAAAAGAAATTTTATCATGCTATATTCAAATCATTCACTTTAGTTTTACCACATTTAAAAATTAATGAATAAAAGAAAATCTTAACATTCCAAAAGAAGATATAAAGGTAAAAAGAGTAATAGCTATTCAAATTGGAATGTTTTTCTTTCTTTTAAGACAGTTTCTAACAACTATTTTTAAATAATTGCATATTCTGAAAAGAATATCAATTAATAAAACATTTGTTACTTTAATATTCAATAAGAGCTTATCTGCCAACATTTAAAAATGAAAATTAAGATTTTAATATTAACAAATGTAACATAACAATGATCTTTTTTAAAATAAAATAGGGATTTTTTTTTTCCTTCACATATTTCATATTAACCCTTTAATGGGCCCTTTACTTCTAGTAAAGGTAAATTAAAGTATTTTTGGAATTGAAATTGTTTTAAGAACAGTAACTGATATTAAAAAAAAAAACTCATTTAGTTTATTAAAATGCCATTTTTTTTGGTGGTAAATATATTTAACATGACCTATTAGGAACTTACTGACTTTTATTTTTCTTTATTTATAAAATAAATTCCTTAAATGCTACAAACTTCAAAAGGAATTATGTATTTTATAACTTTTATACGTTTTTTAAAAGTGACAAATGGTTACCAATTTTATTCAAACTCACTTCAAGAAAGCTGAAGTTATTGAAAAATGGAAACCTAAATTAAAAGTGGTAAAACGTGGTGGTAAGTATACTTACCACTGCCTTCAAAAGGGTTAAACATTTGTAGCATTTAACCATTTGATAGAAACAGCTAAAATAGATTTAATTTAAAAAATTACCTTTTTTAAAGAATTAAAATTGTCAATATTATAATTTATAAATTAAAATCTATAAATAAAATGAGGATTTTATAAAAATATAATCAAAGAGTAGATTTTAAATATTTCCAATGAAAAGCAATGGATGATACAACAAACTATAAATCAATGGATAGAGGAATGTTTAGCTATTTAATATGCATTCAACGCGAGTACTCTTTTATATACAACTGATGTCATATTGGTATTTTTATTTCTTATTGAACAAAGTGGTTGATTCTTGCTTACTGAACTCACTCCGTGCTGCAACAATATGACTTTGCAAATTCTGAATTCAGGAAGATCCATAATATTTTTAAAATCAACAACAGTATATAAATTAAAATTGAATAAATAAACAAATTTAGTACAAAGTCTGAAAGAAATTGTTTTCTCCTCATAAAAATTTAATGTGAAAATTCCGATGTTTGATTTATTTTTCTAATATTTGCTAACAAATCTGGAAATATGTACATCTTAAATAATAAGGATTAAGACACACCAAGTTTCAAATTCTAATGCCTTTGTTATCAAGAAATTTAATATATAGGGTGTGCCAAAATTAAGTGTCCCTAAAGTTTAATAAAATATACTGTCAGAGATTTCTCCTTGTTTTATTGAATTGAGATTAAATCAGTAGTATTTTTTCTAAGCTAGAAAATAACCCATAATGAAGCTAGATTGTGTGATTAATATATTACCTTCTCAAACAAATTCTTTAACCCAATTTGTTGCAAATGGAAAGCAGCTAATTTGATGAACATCATGTATCTGTGTCTGAAAACAAAATAAAATATTGAAAAATAAAAATTTTAGCTGATACCTTTATCATTTCAAAAAGTAACATTTCCAGTGTTTTGCTTCTTATTACACAAGCAGAAATTAAACTATTCTTTTATTAAATTTTTAAAAATAAAGTAGCTTCCACAGAACTAGGCATGACAAAATATTTCAGGGTTTAACTAATGTGATTTAAATTATGAGTAAGTTTTTTATTCTCTTTTCAACATTAAACATACCATAGCTGGTCGAAAGACTGGTTATTGTATTGTAAAGTGTTCGTATGTTTAGTGTTAAATTTCCTAATATTAAATGAAGTATTTTTAAAACATTCACACTAAATTTTTACTTCAAGAATTACAACTTTTTCCTATCAGCAAGAGGTATTCACCTTCAAAAAATTAAAATTAGATAAATTACAATATCATACATTTTTGTAACAAAAAACTAAATAGAGGAAGAGGTTGAAAAAAAATACATTGCTGTGAAAACAAATGGTTTTGACATTTTGATTACATTTTCAATTGTTGATTGTAAGAAATCAGTAGCTTATTTTAAACATTTCACAATTAAAATCTACGAAAGATTAATCATTAACTAATGCGAAATTCTATATTATATGTCAGAACTTGACAAATTCGATAAAAGCAAGATAATAAAAAAGAAACAAGATAACATGCATTGCCAATATAAAAAATGTGAGGAAAAAATGTTTTTTTCTTAGAACAAAATGAGACTGGGGCTTTTGGTTTCGAATGAAAATTTTTTTAAAATTTATTTAATATGTGGCTTAATAAATAAATATTTTATTTAATTGTTTTTTCTATTGTCCAACAGTACTTAATCAAAATCTGTGAAATACACTCATTCTTAGCTTTCTGTTATGAAATGCTAAGTATCTATCCCATCAAATCTTTCTTTGCTCGCTTAACTTTTTAACTTGAAAATTTTTTAATTATGTAAAAATTTTTGACTTTATGACTATTATATGACTATAAATTATTAAGATTATGATTTTATTATTCAGCATAAATAAACGCAAATATTAAAAACCAACTTACTCAACAAATGCATCAATTAATTCTTGCCTTAAACAGCATAATTTATGTTTGTGAGAACGTGGAAAACCTAATGTTTGAGCTTCTTTTGATAACTCTTCATCTTCAACTAAACAAATAAAAGAAAATTTTAAACACTTCAAAACTGAAAATTAAATATTTCTTATTTTTAATTAATATTGCTGAACATGTTTTACTTTGAAATATTTATTATAATAACAAAGGAAATAGAGACACAAAAAAATTTCTAGTGCTATTTCACAACTAAGAACTAGACTGAACAGTAAATAATTCTGAACTTCTTTAATATAGATAAATATACAAATAGATAAAATATAAAATTAAAAAAAATACACTGAAATGTAAAAAGAATGCAATAAAAAAAAGAATGATAAGATATTTCTGATACTGAACTTAAAAGATTTGGTACCATAGTAAAAATTAGCATGCATCAAGTTATCAATATAAATATGCTAAACTTTGAACAGTTAAAAAAATTTTAAATTCTTTAAAGTAATGTCTCAAATAATACTAAAAAATATTAAATAAGATTTTATAATGCCCTCCTTTTTCTAACTATTTAAAATAAATTTTAAAAAATACATTGTACAAAAAAACAATGAAACTTAAATCAATGTCCCACTTTAATTATTAAAACCACTTGTAGACCATTAACTGATATGCAGATTTGCAAATTAGAGATATTTAAGGAAACTATATTTTTTATTTAAATACAAAAAATATGAAGACTGCAATAAAAATTGCTGTAGTTTCAGATTTGGTAAGTAGCCTATTAATGTAATATTTAGTTAAAAGTAATCAACATGTGTTATTTTATGTTAAAGTTAGTAATTTAATTATTTAAAACAAAAAACTTACGAGTTAAGAAATTAACATCAGGTGGAAAAGTTCTCAAAAGATCCAAAATATAATGCCTTCCATCATTTCCAATAATACCCTTTGAAAGAATGATATACAATTAAAATTTTAAGTTTACAACAAAAATTTTGAACACAATAAGTTTAAAATGAAAAATAACACAATTATAAATGATCAATTGGAAAGGGTTACAAATAATTAGGAAAATTCAATGGTGTCATTTTATTGTGATCACAACTATTTATAGGAATAAAATTACTATTTAGATAGAAGAATTACAGTAAAACCACAAATTATTCAAAATATTCCAATTCATAGAAAGCACTTTGTTTATAAGAAATAAAAATTGTGAAATAATTCTAATGACAAGCGAACAAGGTGTTTTGATTTCACACAATCATTCTCGAAAAGAAAATTACTAACTCTACAAAAAGCATTGAATGAATTTTAAAAAATTATATATAGTAAAGATGTCACTTGAAATAAATCAAAAGTATTTTTAACCTTAGTGCTCCTAATGTCAATTATCCTATCAGTTTTATATCTTGTCAATGTATAGTATATTTTTCTCAAAATAAGTCCAGTATTTATGATTTGCTTTAGTTGTGTCTTCACGACGATGCAACCTAATGCTATAACTAGAGCCCGGAAGTTCAGGCAAAATGCCATAAATGCCCTTTTCTGCCTTTTTTAAACGTTTTCTTCTGAAAATGCCTTTTTCTTTCCTTTTGTTCATAAATGCCTATTTCTGTCTAATTTAAAATTTTTCTGCAAAGCTTTTTGTGCTTTTGACCGAGCATAAACGCAAAATGAAGAAATTTTGAAGTACAGAAATGGTTGACTGTCATCCGACGTATTGTAATGCATTTATAGAGATTAGGACTTTATTCCTTTTGTCTTATTAATATTTTCTCTCCGTCTCTTCGTGGCGTCACCTTCGTCGTGGCGTCACCTTCGCCCGATGCGCTTTGCAAGGAGAGAGAGAAAGGGAGTGAAAAGATTGGAGTTATTTTTACTTACAGTCAATAGAATTTATTCTTACTTACGGCCCATATAGCCTACACCATCGAATAACTCGTATGCTCTCTTATCTACAAAACGAATTCACCAAGCTGGTTGAGCACATTGTAGCAGGAGCACGAAAAAGTTTTCTAGTATACTAGTTATTTCTAAAATGCCTAAAGTAAAAGCCTGCACAAGCAAAAAACTGGACAGTTTTGTGAAAGAATTTGGGTCGGATGTGTTTTCTACTGATGGGAGCATTCTGTTTTGTAAGGCATGCGAGAAGTCAGTAAATTTTGAGAAGAAGTATTTTATATCTCAGCACTTGGAGACATCTAAGCATAAAACAGCAAAAGATAAAAAAGATGGGAAAACATCGACTCTGATTTCCACCTGTTTTCAATTATCTTCTCGCAAATCGGAATTTGCAATGGATTTATGCAGATCATTTGTAGATGCCGGCATTCCGCTGTGGAAACTTGAAAATAAAAGTATACGAGCTTTTTTGCAAAAATATACGAATCAAAGTGTGCCCTGTGAATCAACTTTAAGGAAAACTTATTTAGATGACTGTTATACCGAAGTTCTTAAAACTATTCAAAATGAAATCGGAACGAAAAACATATGGCTATCTATAGATGAAACGACAGATGTAACTGGACGATATGTTGCGAATGTTATTGTTGGTGTTATGGACCCATTTGAAAAACATAAAATCTTTTTGTTGACATCTGAACAGTTGCAAAAGACTAACAGTACTACAATTGCACAGTTGTTCACTAATGCACTGGCTTTACTTTGGCCAAATGGTACTGAGCATGAAAGAGTGCTATTATTTCTTACAGATGCAGCCTCCTACATGAAAAAAGCTGGAAATGCCTTAAAAGTTTTATTTCCTAATATGATCCATCTAACGTGCCTTGCTCATGCATTGCACAGGATAGCAGAGGAAGTAAGAGGTCTCTATCCTGAGGTAGACTCGCTTGTTTCTAGTGTGAAAAAAGTATTTGTGAAAGCCCCTTCAAGAGTTCAAGTGTTCAAAGAAATTGCACCAGACATTCAATTACCTCCTAAACCGATCCTTACGAGATGGGGAACATGGATTTCAGCAGTCTCATACTACTGCACAAATTTTGAGGAAGTTACTCGAGTCCTTACCAGCTTTTCGGATGAAGAGGCAATATCCATAAGAAAAAGTAAAAATCTGCTTAGCAGTTCTAAAATTAAAAATGAACTGACTTTTATTTCAACTTATTTTGGGAAGCTCCCTGGAGCTATTGAACACATGGAAAAAAGAAATATGTCTTTGTCCGAGTCACTAAAGATTTTCGACAATACTATTGAAGAACTAATGTCTGTGCCTGGACCATCTGGTGACATAATAAGGAAGAAATGTGAAAACGTCATCTCTGCAAATACAGACTTTGAATGCATCAAGGACATTGCAAAAGTACTTTCTGGTGATACTACAGTTGAACTTACCATATCTCCTACCATGGCAAGTTGTTTTAGGTACGCGCCCATAACTTCTGTCGAAGTAGAAAGATCCTTCTCTTTGTTTAAAACTATATTGACTGACAGGAGACAAAATTTCTCTTTCGAAAATTTGAAAAAGCATCTAGTTGTGATGTGCAACAACAACCAATCATTAGAATAAATCTGCATGCAATATTATTGTAAGTATGAGTTTTCAATTTATATTTCACACTTACGCAGTTGAGGTTGTTTTTTTTTTGTGCAATTATGTCCACTTCTTTTGTACTATTGCTACGACAGTCGAGTAAAATGAATATGTAGGTATACCGGATACTTCTGGCAACTTTTTTTATACCTTGGATACCTATACGGGCTTTTAGGCATTACCAACTACCATTTTGCTCAAATTTTAAGTGCCTTTTTCAAGCTTTTTAAATGCCTTTTTGCCTGCCTATTTTTGCATTTCTTATTGCCTGAAATTCCGGGCTTTAGTTATAACGTCTTTTCTTTTTTCGTTTTGTTTAGGCCACAGAAATTGTTACACTGAGCATAGTCTGCAAATACATAACTGATTCACATTGGCTACATTGTGGATAAGTAGTATATATTGATACTGCCATTTACAACAAGCTTGGCAAACCTCCCAAAAATCTGAATTTTAATTATCTAAGGTTTTTTAACTTAAAAACAGATTGCTATTATATAGAACTTTAGTTGTGTGAAAAAGAAATTACTGAAACTGACTTTACAAGCTTTAAATAAACTAATAACATGCAAATAAGATAAATTGCTTACTTTACACTCCACAGAAGAACAAAGCTCAACCTCTTCATCTTTTTCATTCAAAACACTGAAAAACAACTAAATTAGTAAAAGAAGAAAAAAACAAATATATTCCTAAGTATTTAAAAGCTTACTTAACATTAACATTCTACATATTTAACAATGACATCTTAAATATTAGTAATTTAACTTGCTCCTGTGAAAATTACAATATATACTTACAATATACTACCCTTCAAAGAAAGATTAGAGTTGTTTCAAAATATATTGTTCCAAGATATAACTTGTTCCAAAATTGTTATATATTGTTCCAAAAAATTTTAAAAAAAATAAGAAATTTACTTTCAATTTCAAGAAACTTCTTTGAAAACATTACACTCTGCTGTTTGTAATTAGTTGTAAAATTGAATTTATCGATAGCAAAATTTAAAACATTAAGTATTTCACTTACGAATGTGGAAGAATTTTCAGTGGTTGTCCAGCTTTATTGAGCTAAACAAAAATATTCAAACATTAAAAAAAAAAATTTTAAAAAAAGAATTTCAAATAAAGAAATAATCAAATATATTTTATTTCATAATAATCTTTTGTCTTAATTACCATTTCCAGATATTTAGGATGACTAAGAACAGTCTTTCCAAAATCTACAGAACCATAGACAACAGAATGCTCTTGTTCTCGTTCAAGAATACCTGAAAATTTAATATTTTTTAAATTTATGCAAGTTTAAATCTTAAAAGAAGTTACAGTTAAAATGCATCAAGCGAAACATATATTTTAACGTGAGTCATAAATAAAAAAAACAAGGCAGGATATTTTTTAAAAATTAATGAGGTAATTAAAGTACAAACTATGGGAAAACAAATATATAATCATTTTTCTAATAAAAGTTTAAACAGTTTGAATTGAATCAATAGTATTACCTTGGGATTAACATTTTAAAATATCTTAGATATGTTTTACATTTCATACCCACATTTCGTGAACTAAAAGAACTATTTAAACACTTTAATAATTTTAAAAATAGAATTTTCATGTTTTTTTTTTTTGATAAATTTATTAAAATGATTTTCTAGGAGTTTCAGCAAAATTTCTAAATGAATCAAAGGAATACTCATAAGAAAGTTCATTTAGCCTTTAAAAAACTAATTCAATTATTTGTTAAATGGGTCTTGATTTTGTATATCAGGGCTCACAAACAAGTGACTGCATTTAAAATACAATTCTGTCTTTTTAAAAGAAAATAATTAGCATCAATAAAATGAATGTCATTTAAAACTCATCACAAAACACTCACTGCAGATATAAATTTTTATTAAATTGGTTTAGTTGTTGAAATAAGAGCATGTGATTTGTCATCTTACCTGGAATAATTGATTGGGCCGTAACTCGATAGCCACGATAGTCTATCACAACAGTACCCAAGGTATAAAGGCCTTCTATATCTACAGCATTATATGCACGGACACCTTGCAAATCATTATTCTGAAAATATCAAGAAATAAAATATAACTTAGAAGACACTAAGTATTTTTATGTTATAACTAGAGTACTGGCAAACATTTGTTTTTAAAACTTACTGGAGCTGAAAATGCAGCAGCATCTCCCCCAACTTCCTTATAATGATCACGAACATCAAATCCGAGACTAAAGAATATGTTGTTCCAAATAAACATCTGCATTCTATAATAAAAAACACATTGTAAAAGTACATCAGGATAAATAATACAGAAAAATAGAAGTAATTGAATAAAATAGCTGTTAATAAGAAAGCAAGGCATACTTTGTTTCTTCTCCAGGATTTAGAGCCATAACATTGCCATCCACGACAGCCATGGCACCTCGAGTAGCAGCAGTAACAAAGTCGCTGTGCACTTTAAAGATGGCTCTTTCTCGAATAAGACGTTCTGGTAAAGATTTTCTAGATAATTCTCTAGTTGTTTGAAGTTCTTCATTCCAGTCTCTTGTCTGACCAGGTATATGTTCCTCATAACCCAATTTAGCAGAAAAAGCTAAAAGATAAGTAATAAAATTACCACTTAGCACTATGTCAATTGGTAAAAGAAAACAATGGGGAACAAATTTTTTGTTGCACGCATACAAATATTTGATCTTTGCTCACGGTGTGCCAGAACTTCTCCAGAAGTCTGTCACAACATTTATGCGACTCCCTGTTTTAAATAAAGTTTTATACGCACACATTTTGACTAAAATAAACTAAACATTTCATTTAAAAAACTATAGCATTGAAAGAGCAAACTTGAAATCATAGATACAAAAATATCATGCAACGGAAAACAAACAAAAAATTTCCAAAGTAATTAATTCATTTTAAATTTTCTACAATTAAGTTTTTATAAATTTTACAAAAAAATAAAAGAAAATCTAAAAATTTGTGAAAAAAGTTAATTTTAAATTATTAAAAAAGGTAGTCAAAAGTTATGTAAACCTTTATTTTTAAAGTTTACTTTACTCAATTTAACAAATTTACTTACAGTATGAGAAATTCATTAAGAAAGAGCATTAATTTCAATAATTACTGTATTTTTAAAATTATCTGCAATAGCTTAAATTTGAAATACATATGCATATATTGTATATGTTATGCTTTGTAAATGTTTTTTTTTAAAAAAATTACGCCCGCCATTGTCTTCTCAGACATAAGGCGTCTTGCAGTCCAATACAACACTGAAGTAACTCCAGAAGGTGAGAGGGCACAAAAGTCATCACAGGAACGAATGTCGAGAAGAGAGGGGCAATCAAATAAATGCTCCCCAGTCACAGGCGAAGTGTTACAGAGCACACAAAGAGGTGAATTGACCAAGTTAATTTTAAATAAATGGGCCTGCAAGTAGTCATGTCCAGTAATTAATCTAAGGCAAGTAACTCCCTCAACTCTGGGAAGGAGGGAAAGGTGGGAGCGCTGCTGGCCATCAAGAAGGCTAGTCCAGGATTTTCCATCAGCTAAGTCCCAAAGAGCAGATATTGTTCTGTGCTTGCATTTGCCCTTAAGAAGCCACCTTGCATTTCTAAGGGGAACTGGATGAGAAGAATTTAATGTTAATCAGTGCTGAAGAATTTAATCAATGCTGAAGCCTCTCTAGTCAACATATCAGCCCGTTCATTTCCGTAAATGCCACAGTAGCCAGGGATCCACTGGAGGACTACCTCTCTTCCAGAACAAAGAGAGTCAATGCGTTGTTTACACTTAAATTCGAGGGTTAGGGGTGTAGTGTGGCAGGCCTCCTTGTGGTGCACCCTGGGTAACGCTGAATCTGCTACAGCCTTCGCCAATCTCTTGCTTTGTATATGTTAAATATAACATTTTCAATATTAACATTACCTTAAGAAAAAAAATTAAGTTTCTAAAGCTACTTTCAAATAAGCTTTCTTGTTATCAAAGGTTACCATTTTTAGGAGACCTGTATAACTATCAAAAACTCTCTTAAAATTTTATTACGGAGCACTACTAATGTACTTACCATCTTCTGCTCGAATGGAATCAATAGTATGTTCTAGATTTGGTGCAGCCCATGTATAAACTTGATAGGGCGTAGCTACCCGCTCAAAGGGATGTCTTTGTGTTCTCTTCTTTTGTATTAAATTAAAGTTTCTCTTAAACGTCGGACTGACCTACAAGTAATTTCAAACAATTTGTAAATCACACGACCAAACAATTTTTTTTAAATAAATCTATAAATGTAAAAAGTCAATAAAAAAAAAGGTAGAAATTATATTTGAAATTAAAAATACACACAAAATATTAATAAAATTTTATAAACTTTATATTTTTTCTCTAGTAATAATCAAAAGTATATTAGAATTTCTTACCTGTCCCAATAAATCTGCAAGTGAATGGAATATTAGCTTGGGGGTGGCAGGTTTTGGATTGAACTCTTCATCTGTGGTTCTTTAAAAATAAAAAGCGATTTCATATAATAAAAAACCTTTTCTGATAAAATATATTTTTTCAATCCTTTTTTTTTATTTCTTTAAACTTAAGAAAAAATATGCATGTTTAATTTTACTTTTACTAAAAAAGAATGAAAACCACTTACACATTAATTAGGTAATGAAAATAAAATATAGGAAATATTGTACACAAAATCATATCAACTTAATTTTAAAGCTAAGAGCCTAAAACCTAAGAACTAAGATTAAGAGCCTAAGAACTTAAAATTGTTTTTATCTGGACAACAGCAAATGTTGAGCCTTGTACCTAAAATGTACTTTAAAATATTTAAAGCCTATTTTTCAGGTAAGTGGAAAAGAAACTTATGGCACTTGGTAGTAAAAATACTGGTTGGTTGATAAATCAGTCAATAGCTCTGATCGTGATCTGCTATATCATATCAAAGTGATACATAATTTCAGAAAGAAAAAGTAAATAAAATTTTGCTATGCACTCACTTTAATTCAGTTGCTTAGCTATAATAAAAACTGACATTTCCTTTTTACCTTATTCAATACAAACTATTCGGTTTTACTGGAGAGTTAATTTAAAAGAGTGAGACAAACCATAGAAAAGGCATTGAATCTTCATGAATAAAAATTACTATAAGAATTTTAATTTTGAGACTTGTAACACATTATTACTGGCTTGGAAATAAATTTAAGATTTAGTAAATATTAACTGTCAATCCAAATTTAAATTCGGGTTAGGGTTGGATTGCTTTGTTGCACAGATTGCTTTTTTCAATGTTATTTAGAGAAACAAGAAAATTTGAATACAAAAATTCCACAAATAACTAGATAGTTAAATTTTCAAAATAACTTTTAAAATAAAATGCATAGTGTATTATGCATTTTATTTTAAGTTATCTTGAATAATACATTTTGTTTAAATGCTTAATCAAATTTCTTTAATTCTCTCAAAATATTGAGAAATTTAGATTTTCTAATATGAATCGGATACAATTATAAATCAAGATTCTATTAATGTATTCTATGAATCACATACAACAATATCTTGTACAAGCACACATCAAAACAAAGTTTTGCTTTGATAAGTTTAATTAACAAATTATTTGAGGACTCTTAGAAAATAAGTTTATTTTCCTCGAATTACTAGAAAACAGGAAACTTAATGTACAAATTACTCTCTTAATACAATAAATCAAGAACTGAATTTACACCTACTGATTTATGTAGAAGCCACGAGTAGATGCTGTAAGATGAAGCCTTTTGTCTTCAGCAGTAACAACGTATAAGTAAAGTAAGTCACCTAAAAAAAATTTAACAGTCTATTTTTTTAAAAAATAAATCCACAATAGTTCTTTAAAATAATTTTGTTGCCCCTATGTGAGAAAAAAAGAAAACCGGTACAGTATAGACTACAAGCCTGCACCTTAATTTTTTTCATATAATGTTATTATTTTGTGTATTCCAGAGCTCTTTCCAGGCTTGAAGTACTAAAGATTTATATATTTGCTTGATATCTAATGGCACTAAAACATTCCTACTTATATTATGAGTACTTCTCGGAACTACATCAGCACATTCATTCCAGTGTGAAATATCGAAACCTGTCATAGTCGTGTGATGCACTTTTGGATTTTTAGAATAACTGGGTTTAGACCGATGTGATATATACTTGAGATAAAATTATGAGAGTCAGTATAAATTATCCACTTTAGATAAGTTTGTTCAAAAATAAAGTTAAGGGCTACTAAAATAGCATAACATTCAGCCGTAAAAACTGAAGAATCAGGAAACAGTTGCTCAGATACAGACCCCATCTTAAATTACAATTATTAATACCTTGTCAACCTTAATTAATATTTTCTACAATTTATAGAATAGCATTAATGTGAGCATATTCTTTGTATTCCTTTATTTTAATTTCTGGCATCAATAAAATTATTATTTTCTTTTACTTATTAAATAAAAAAAGGTCTCTGAAATTAAGATTTAAAATTCAATGTCTAGCATACAGATAGAATAGAAAATGAGCAGCAAAATATAGAACAGGGCTTTTGAATTGTATAATGAAATATTTACCACGCAGCTTTCGTATGCCAGGGGGAGGATTCCAACCACTTATTGTCAGTACTTTTATGGCAGGAGTAATCTGCAATATTTCAATAATAAATTGTCATATTTGCCAATATTAGATACATAAGGTCAGGTGGGTATAAAATCACACTTTTGTCAAAGAAGGCTCTAAAACCAAACCATTAAATTTTACCGAAAATTTTTATTTATTTTATATACCTTGGAGTCATATAGATTAAATAGGAAGCTTAACTTATCTATTTTCTTTGGTTGTTTTCCTACTTTAATGCATTAAAAGAACATGTTTTGATATACCCACTTTATGCCAGAGAGAGATAATGTTAAATTAAGAGAGTAGCGAGTGGGTAACATTAAATTAGATTTTTCTGGGTATGAGGTTCCAATTTAAGAAGTAAAACATTTAATATTAAAAGTATTCAAATATAGTTTGATTTCTATCCTTGATTTTTATAAAACAAGAATTTAAAACAAATTAACACAGACAAAAAACATAGCCATTAAAGGCATTTTGAACATTTGAACTTCAAAACTTTTTGTCATTTAAAAATTTAAGAGAATTTTCTTTCTTAAACTGAGAAAAATATAAAGTTCACTTTTAAATCGTCTTACAAATTGTAATTGTTCAGTTTATTTTAGTCTACCCCTCTCCTATTTTCTGAAAAGTTTACATATATACATATATTACATACATAATAAAAATCTTTGATAATAACAATTCCATATAAGTTTAAATATACACTATTTAATTAAAAAATAGATACTAAGGCTAATATTAATGAAAAAAAGCAAATTAGAACATTAAAAAAACAATTAGGTTAAAAGAGTATGAGAGAATGTTTTTCAAAATTAAGTCACCACAATAAAAGATCTAGTAGTGAAATAAAATTTTAAATCTTTAAAATTTATAACTTCATTTTATTATAAACAAATAAACTCTTAAAATAATTACTTTGAGATCTTTGGAATAAGGCTGTAATGGTAATAAAGGAAGTTCAGAAGAGCCAGGCAAGATGTAATCTAATGGTGTACAATCAACTGAATCGGGACGACTTTTTTTCTTTTCTGAAACAAAAATTTTACTTAAATGGAGAAATATATTAAAACAAATACACTTCTTTTCAAACTCAGAGGTCTTGTTTTTCATGTTTAATTGTTATTCTAGAAATATAATGAAAATACACAAAAGATAGATTTCCCATAAAATTAAAAAAATACTTTAAGTATACAAAGATTGGGAAATTTTATAATTTCACAAATTTTTTATTACTATATAATTTCAATTTCAAAACTCAATAGCCACTATTGGACCGATCATACTAATATCAATAATATCTAATAATTTTATCTTTTAAAATATGTTTTGAAAATGATAGTCTTTGGGATCATATGTTGTATACTATAACCTTCTCCTAAATCTAATAAATAATGTAATTACCGAAAATGTACAGATTAATTTCCGAAAATAAACAAATACAAAAACACTGTAAACCAAATTAACCCTATATATATATTTTTTTTAATATAGTCTTCTGAATCTTATTATTCACTTGTTTGTATAAGCACTCAAAATGATTTAAAATCTTAAATTCAAATTTGAAGAGTTTAGAATAAAAGTAAATAAGACAATATTTTCTTATATAAATAAATATTTTGTGTGTAAATAAATTTTAAAAATTTTATTAAAATGAATTTCAATGTTGTTCCTTTTTGTTTTGTTTCTTATAAATTAAGATTTAAAAACTACAATTCTAAATAACCTTTTTCTTTTGAAAAATACAATTTATTGATATGACCATGTATTTATTACAAAAAATTTAAATTCTTAAACACCAATTATATGTTAAAATAGCTGAATTTTTTCCCTTAGCCAAGATATCTACTGCTTAAAAAAAAAAAAAAAAAAAAAAAAAAAAAAAAAAAAAAAAAAAAAAAAAAAAAAAAAANAAGATACTTTTGAAATGTACAGTTTTTTCATTTTCAAAAAAATTTAATTTCACTTATACTTCGTTTCACCGAAAAGTAGTTCGCTATTTTGGAATTACAGTTTAAATGTACGTACAAATATGAATAACCGTATTTTTCGGCGGAAGAGCCGCGGCGCTATCGAAAAAAAAGTTGTTTTTTTCCTGCATGCGGCGCTTCCGATGCAGCGGCGCTTCCGACGAAATATTTTTTTTTGTAGCAAAAAAATTTGTCAAGGAAAGTTATTTAAGAAATAATTTTCTGACTATTAAAAAAAATTAATAACGAAGTCGACGAAATATTCGCCCGTATCGCGATCTGCTGCAGAACATCGCCAATTCTTAGCTAACTTTCGGCAGCAGCCTGTAAGAAAATAAATAAACGAAATAATAATTTTAAAAAAACATCGCATAAGGAGAAAATTTAAAAGGTATGCATCTTGTATCCACCCCCAGCTTGAAGAAAAATCGCAAGCTAGAAATCTATTTAGCGCCTTAGCAATTGTAATTTAAGTGAACAGAAAAGGAAGAATAGGACCCTAAATCCGACACTCACGGGACTGACGAAATGCCGCACTTCGGATCTCTTTCGGAAATTCCAATATGGCCCCCAAATATTACTATAATTCAATTCCACTGTTAATTTCAGAAAAACCAATAAATTTAGTCAAGTTTCGATCATAGATTATGATGGGGTGAATTTAAAACTGGCCCATCATAAGAGAAGAAGAAATAATCAGAATCCTATGAAGAAGAAATAATCGTTTCTTCTTTGGAGCGAGATCATAGTTCTCGTTTTTTCTTTTAGATAACATTTTGTTTTAACAAAAGACGCTTACCTCGCAAGAAAAAAAAAAAGCTTTTTAAACTAAATGCTAACAAACTAACAATGAATAGCAACAAAAAACAAGCTAAAAATTAATAACGATAAAAAAAGAAAAAAAGCAAGCAAGCAACAATTAACAAGAAAAAATAAAAAGCGGCAAAATAAAAAAAATTAATGAATCGAATAAAAAATCGCAAAAGGGATAAATTCATTTTATTGTCCATGTGGTAGTTTCAATGTCAACTGGGTGTGGCCAATTTATGGTCAAACAGAGGAGGGAAATTCGGGGGCAGTAAAGCACAGCTGTCAAGATTGATTGATCAGTTTTTTCCAACTTCCATTTCTTTATTTTGTTCATTGGAAATGCGGGTGTTTTTACTTCTCACTTTATTTTAAACTGCTTTAGAAACAGATGTTTCCTTTGATACAGATTTTTTTTTTTTTCTTCAAGCTTCTTTTTTATTTTTAAAAGATAAAATAAAGTAAGTTACTTCAACAGAATAAAATTCAAAATAAAAAGAATATAGCTGATTTTTTTTGTCTTATCAATATAAATTTCTTACAGAAAAAACGAAAAAGATTAGATCAGATTAAGTGCCGAATTTTGGAATGCTGGATTAGGGGTCCCATACCCTTTTCTTTTCCCCAACCCCTTTAAAATATAACTGATTGATTCCTCCTAAACAGCTCTAATAGAAATGACGCGTGGAGAAGGTGGGGGTACACCTCTCTTTTAAACATTTTCTTCTCTCTTTCTAAGTTGAGTCACATTGGGTTACTATTTCCATTGAAGGAGAGGGCATTCTACCCACTATAACTCTACCCTCAAAGATTGTGAAAGTGAAACTTATTTCCCCTTTGCTAATTCCTTCAGAATTTTTTTGGGGCCTGCTTAGTTATTTCTTATTCTTGTTATTATTAGTTATTTCGTTATTATTAGCTGTATCGTTATTATGTATTAGTTTTTCCTCAAATTCTTAACGGCAATAAATTTTAAAATCTTTCTTTTAATAAATTTTTATTTTATTCTTTCTTATTACATCGTTTTAGGGATTTCTGTAATCAGTTCAGCCTTAATTCAGCTACTGAACATATAAATATTTTTTTTGCTGTTCTTCTGTTTTTTGGCGCGGTGCCAACTGGTAAGAACAACTTTATTTTATATAGTTTTGTTTTCTTTTTTGCTGAAAGAGAAAACTTTTTTTGTTGTTGCTTTTTTTTGCTGAAAAAGAAATTTTTTATTATAATTTAGAAATTAAAACTTTACTTTATGAAATGCATAAAAAAATTAAATTTTTTATTATACAGATACTCTAAATGGTAATTTAAAGGTCTCTTCTAAAAGGATGCTGATATGCGCGGCTTAGCACCATTGCGGCGCTTACTATAACTTTTTTTTTAAAAATTTCATTTTTATCGAGGTGCGGCGCTTTCGCCGAAAAATACGGAAATTTTGTAAAAATGGTGAAAGAAAAGTTTATCTTGAAACATGTATTAGAAGTTTTATCATGTTTAAATGTATTTAACTTATGAATACCTTCTCTGGAAACCGAATATACAAAGAAGGAGATGTTTTGGTTTGGCAATGAATTAGTTACCGAAGACGTAAAAATGGTGCTTTGGCTACGTTTTTGCAACTGGTCAGCCTCGCATCTTTTAATTGTTCTTTTGCTTTGTTTTTTATTAGTTATTAACTGTCAATTTTTTTACTAGTCTTTTATTGTTAGCTGGATTTTTTATAGTTGCTAACTGTTATTTTTTTGCATTAATTGTTAAATTTTTTGTAGTTCCTTGTTAGATCTTTTTTTTGTTTTGTTGCTGATTACTAAATGGTAAATACTTAGGATTTTCTTTTCAGAAAAGAAAAAGGCGATCTCTTATAGAGATTTTTATACATAGGTTTCGTATAGAGGTTTTTTAGATAACTTCTTTTATTTCATAGCAGCAAATATATTTCAGGAAAAATAAAACAAATTACTTTTACAATTAACTTAGAACTAATTATAAATTCAGAAAACTACAAAATCAATTTTCAAAAAAAAAAATTTAATATTATAGAACATACTACCATGAGCTAAGAGTTTTGAAATTCAATATAAATATACAAATATAGAAATGAATAGACGTAATGAATAAACAAATATAGAAAATATATATATATATTTTTTTTTAAGTATTGTTCAGAGGCAATCACATTTTAGTGTACCGATAAAAAATTTCTAGCTGAAAAATAAAAACTGAACAATTTATGTACATATATATTTTAAAAAAGATAAAATGTAAATAGAACAAGTAAAGCATCAATAAATAGGAAAAAACTTTCATTCAAACTACCTAACGAATGTGCATAACACCAAAAATTAAAACCATTAAAAGTTAATTAGTTGATAAACCAAAAATACAATGGATATGCACTAGATTTGAAATATAATTTGAAATATAAAAAAGACACTAATGTGTTTTTAAAAAATGATGCTCGTCAGCTTAATTCTATAGAAAAAATAATCTATTTAATTTACTATAGAGTATTACTTACCTAAAATGTCACCTTGTGTAACAGTGTTTAGGAACGAAAATGAGCTGCATTCTGCACCATTATATGCATCAGCTGGATCTAAAGATTTTAGGAGATCTCTAATATGTCTTACATGAATTCTAGCTTCTCTGACAGTATATGGTTCTAAAAAGAATATATATACATCAAGTTCAATAGGAAATTACATATTTTATACAAATTAAAAATTTTAAACATATTTTTAAAAAATTAACAAAAATTTAAAGATTCCAAATTAAAATTTTAAATTACTTAATTTTAACAAATTAAATTCTGTAATTCAAAATTAACTTTAATGAATTAAAAAACCTTGAATTTTTTTTCTGATCAATATTAAAATCCATTTTCATGTATACTAAAACATTTCTACCCATCCTAGAATACAAGGGTATATTACCTATTTTTTTATTTATTTATTATTTATTTTTTATTAATTTTTAACATTTATCTCAGCATTAAAAATCAATATGTACAGAGTATGATATCAATCTGTATAATAATATCTACAAAGAAAGATTTGTAATAACTTTTTCAGCTATTACTTACATATTATAATCGTTTTTCACTCTAACCAGAACAGGGCAATTTTAAAGTGTAATTTAAATTACAAACCTTCATTAACTTTAATAATAGATCCTTCTCCTAACCCTTCAATTGTTTTAAGTTCAGCAAAATTGTCCATGGTTACGCCATCCAACTGTAAAGAGAAGCATGTTCTATGGCAAGTCTCCTCTCTATCCATTAGCATTTGATGAATTTCCTGAACCAATTCTGTAGAGCTCACCTACAAAATTTTAATACTTTACTTTAAAAATAAAAACTTGCTGTGGCACTATATTCAATTTTATATATTTGTCACATATTTTTCTGTTTAACAGTACATTAGAATTACCAAAAGAAACAAAGAATAAAAAATAAGAAAAATCAACAATTAAAAGATCTCTTTTTCAAGACAATATTTCATAATTCCTTGGAATTTTAATTTCTAAATATTTCTTTATAAATTTCTAATAAATTATCTCTCTGTACATATAATAAGATTTATATTTTCTCTTTAAATACAGTAAATATATATTTAAAGAAGGTTGTCTGTAAGAATTCATATTAAATAGTTTTAATTTATATACATAACAATCATATATTCTGATAATTAGATATAGATGCAACAGTACACCTTACAAGCTTTTTAATGGTTCTTTATTATCATTGAAAAACTTAGGAGAAATTGTGATATATGGTATAAAACTTATTATCTTTGATATAAAACTTAGTTATCTTTATTATAGAATGTGATAAATAATTGCCTTTCTTTCCATATCATAATATAATATTTGATATAAAACTGTGTGCTTATACTTATAATTATCTTCTATAAATGTAGTAGTATGTAGTATAATAAAATATCAAACTTCAAATCTGACAGCATCAACTACAATGCAGACAGCCTATAATACAAATCTTTGATAGTTCTATTAATAGACACATAACCTTTGGGGCCCTTGTCTCAAAAGTCACTCAGCCTTTTTTTTTTTTTTATCTCAAAGCATGAATACAAAAATTGTGTTTAATCTAAAAGTAAAACTTTTCAGAACTTAATTTAACTATAATTAACCGTATTAAAATTAAAAAAATTCTTTATTCACTTAATTTAATATTTTTGTTTCTTCTTATAATAAAACAAAGCAACTTTTTAATCTAACACAAAAAATATATATAATCTTTTTTTCAAGTACAAGACAACAAGTAATATTCAGGAGAAAAAAGCACACACAAAAATTTTTTTTTTAATAAACAGATGCCAAGTACAACCACAGATGATAAATAACATTAAAAGATATTTTCAAAATATTCAGGTTAAATTTATTTATAATGCAAAAAATATAAATGAGTGCTAAATAGAGTATAAAAATTAATGTAAATAATTACATATTCTAGTCATAATATCTTAGTCTTTTATTAAGATCATATATTAATGTCTTATATTATCTCAATGTCTTATAAAGACCTTTAAACAAATTGTAAAAAAGACTTAATTTTTTAATACTTCATTAGTTACAGATGGTACAACTGATGACCCAGAATAACATATTTTATGATATTAAGTACCATAAACAAAAGGTTGAATTTTAGAATCAATACAAAAAATCCCACTTAAAGCCTGTTTTACTGGGGGGGGGGGGTTTTNGGGGGGGGGGGGATTTACGTTTTAAGTAATATCAAAAATGAAGTTAGATTACGAGACAAATATTCTTCAATTATATTTATTAAAATAATTGATTGTTGAAAAATTGAAAGGTAAAATTACATTTTTCCTTACCACAACAAAAAAACTACATTGAATAATAACACCTAAATATTTACAGGGGTAAAAAATTCAAAAAACAATGGTTTTTACACTATATGGTAAAAAAAAAATTCAATCACTGGTCTCTGGATTAATGACAACTAGTCTGGTGACAATTAGATATTTTTTGTTAAGTTAATGTTTTTAAGTTTGGGAGAGCGACAATAAATTACGAAAGAAAACAAGTATTTTTGAACACCCTAAACCAGAGAAATCAAACAATAAGCTTGTATAGATTACTTTAGTTGTTTTTAATAATTGTCAAAAAAAATTCGTTAAAAACTGTGCAAGATAAAGTATATAAGGTTGTCCTTACTTACTGTGCATGAGCAAAAAAATTTTTAAAAAGTTTTTTTCATAATTTTGTGGTGAATCGTAATTAGGCAACTAATGAAAAAAATTTGATTTGAATATCTTACAAATTGTAAAAGTTTCAAATACTTTTCCAAGTAATTTTTGCACTTCAAAAATTTTCAATACTGAAAGAAAATTCAGGGGCTTTCCACCACAAAATTTAATAAAAAATGATAATACCTTACAATAATCGTCCGGAAACCAAAATGTGATGGTACAAGGGAAAAAACATGGGAAAGAAAACAAACTTTTATGGGCATGATCTCTAACAATGCTGTTTAGAGAACATTGCTGCTAATAGGATTGCTGCATCATTGTAAAAATCTCCATAAAAAAATAAACTCAAATTACTTTTATTAAAAAGAACATCAAACTGAATTCTCTAGTTATTTAAAATTACCTGAATATCAAATGGCTCTACTCCAGGAGCAACAATCTTTACAGCATATCCAGCATCGTGGATAAACACAAATTCTTGATCTTTTCCTGAATCCTGAGCAGAGTCATTCTTTTTATCAGTGGGGAGATCACTTTCTGACTCAGGAGAGTCGGAGTTTTGAGCAGTATTTGATTTCTCTACAGAGTCCAGTTCAGTTTTAATAGAGCAGTTATTGTCCTTTGGTAAAGAATATGGAGAGAGAGGTGTCTCAGCTAAAGCTTTTAATTTTTTGCTGATGTCATTGAACTTTTCCTCAGAATTTCCATTTGCTGCATGTCCATTTAATGTTGTTTCACAAGGCATGGCTGAAGGTGAATCACTGTCCTTAACTACCATGTTTCACATTTATCTAGAAAAGTAAAAAAAAGAGCATAAATTATTAGCATAGGAAAATAAAATATTTTTAAAAAAAATTTTACTATTTTAAACCATAATGAACAATGAGTAAGTAGAACATTTCAAAACTGACATATTTTGGTAAAAAAAAGAATTTTTTTTTTAAAAAAGATCCAACATAAAATAAGTAGGTAAAATTGACATATTTGAAATACAGCAAACTATGATCTACATTTCAAGATTTATTATATAACAATAAAACATCTGTAATTGGAAAAAGAAAGTAAATCTAAAATATATTTTCAATATCTAGAAAAGCTTAAGACTTATAATAGAAGAGAAAAAAAATGAATTTAGAAAAGACAATACATAAACTATTTTGTGATATTTAATACAATATTAATCAGATTATTTTTATGTTTCATAAAAAGTTTAAAATTGATATATAATTAATTCAAAATAAAATTAAAAATGCTTTAAGCTAAAGATATATAAATTATTTTTAAAAAACTCATCTTTTTTTTAAATAAAAAATGTGAAATAAGCAGATAAAGTATTTTGTAAGTAAGCTAAACTGAAATATCATTTGGTGTGTACTTAATATTTTTAAGCAAATAGTTAAATTATCACTTATAAATAAACCCTCTATCTCTTTATAAATAAAATTACAAAGTAACTATATAAAGTGAAACAAATTTTAAGAATCTAGGAAAGTGGAAAACATTTAAAAAGAAATAAGGAAATGAAAATACAAAAAGGAGAAATTACAGTTAACAGACTTATGGCCTCCAAGAATGCATAAATTATCTTTCTAATCATTCAGTTATTTTTCTTCAACTGACCTCATTTGTATTTTACTTATCTATGATAGATAAAACTGAATGCATCTTTGCTTCAGTGCTGAAAATCATGGTCAATATTTCAACAACAAAAGAAATTTTCAACACAACGTAATTCTTAATTTTAAAAAAAGTTTGGATGCAAGAATGGTTTAACAAATCTATATTCATTGGATAACAAAATAACTTAAAAATTTTATTTTCTTATACCAAGTCATTTGAATTAACAAAAAAATTTATTAATTACCGTTAAAATGTATAAAAAAATGTATTAATTAACATGAATTAATGTGAAAATTATCAGTTTATAACTGGCACACTGATTTGTTTTATGTAAGAGAAAAATAAGGCAAACGTAATTAAGTACGATTTACATAAATTAGAAATTTACAATGAATTTTATAAATATAAGAGAATTGTTGATTAGAAAAATAATAATTTAAGGTCACACTATAAAATAACTCAATGATTTAACATTTAATTTTATATGAAAAGTTTTGAAGAAAGATATACGCATTGCTTGTTATATAACAATTTTAATGCAGGTAAAATTCTTGAAGATTGCATCATATTTCTTAAATGCTAGTTATTCAATTTTATTAAACTCAAAAAAAAGACAATATTAAATAATGAAATATAATTTAATTTCATACAGCAAAAATCACATAATTATGCATTAAATATTGAATAAAAAGTATTAAACATACTTTTTCCAAGGGCGTATAAGAATTTAAAATTTGTAGCAATTTACGTGAAACAATTCTCTTTGAAATGATAGAATTGCTAACTTATTGGTTTTAAATAGCTTAAATTTGGCAAGCGCTTAACTAATTTTTAAGGAAAATTCATTTCTCACTATTTTCTCTCAGCTGAGATAGTAACCACATGAACTTTTTCCTACGACCTTCCTTTCATGAAGTCACAGAAAGATGCGTGCGCCGGCAATCCACGTGCGTCTCTGGCCGGTAATGACGTCACAGTAATGAGGGGAGGAGAGGAAAGGAGAAGCCCCACCTTCCTTTCAGCGAATTTTATTGGTTAAAAACTCTAATTTAGAGAAATTTTCTATTTAAGTAAAAATTTGATAAAAAAAAATGTTTTTTATCATTATTCTTTATTGAACTGTTAATATTTTAATTGTTTACAATTTTCATTTCCCATTTATTTTTTTTGTGTATGTAAGCGCTCTCTAGCGGCATTTGCGTTATTGAATAATTTCTAGTGGTAAAAAAACTTTTATTCCGCCATTAAATGTTTTAAATGTTCTTTGAACAAAAGCTATTTGTTTGTAAACAAAAGCGATCCTGAAGTCAGATTGAAAAGTAATGATTACACAACTTTATTTTATAGATAGATGACTTTTTTTTAAATATCTTAACTTAATATTATTATTTATGAAAATTCTGCTTATATATTTGCATTTTACTACATAATGTGATCTATAAGTTTTTTTTTTAAACCTAATGACACTAAATTTCATCGAAAAAAGTAAAAAATGTGATGATATATTTATTTATATTTTCGCCTAGCAAATGTATTTTTATTTCCATATACCTATACTTTTCATAATCACTTTATCAATGAATATGATCAATGAAAGTCTAAAAACTTCCATTCATTTTTCATACATTCATTCAACATATTTTTCATTTTATTTCAATATTTACATATTTGAAAGAAGTGTAATAAATAATCTAGGAAGACAGGCGACCTACCCTTTCATCACCAAGCAAGCATCAAACATTTTCTTTTAGTACCAAAATGTCTGTTTGCCTTTCTAAAGAATATATTTCTGCTTACTTCGATTCTACGTTGCATTTATATTTACGTAGATATCTAAAAAAAGAGATTCATAAGAATCAAGTAAAGAATCATTTCATTCTGGATGAACTTACAATGGAGTAGTAATTATTTTTCTCTCCAAAATTGCAGTTAAGTTTTACTGTTTAAAAAAGTTTCAAGTTTATTTAAAATTTTTATTATTGTGTATAGTAAAAAATATTTTTATAAACTGATTCTTAAATGTGTATTTTTTGTATGTTTGCATTAACAACTACATGATAAATATATTACATTTCAAGAAAAAACATTTCCCTTCTAATTTTTTAAGTTCATAGATTCATTTTCTCCCTAAAAGTTTATTTTTATGTATTAATAATTTTCTATGATTTTGTAACATTAATTTTATATAACTTTGAGTTAACTTTTAATTAAAAAGTAAATTGCCATACATTTTTTTGTTACAGCGAAATTTTATGTTACAAAACAGACGCCTCTCATTACAGATATTTTTTTGATTCCATATAAATCTTTTATGAATAAACCATTATGTACCCTGTCCGCAAGGCGGGCACTCATGTAACTGGACAGTCGACTTTGTCTCCAGACCAGACCAAGGTTGGCAAGTTTCTGCCGAGGTTTTTAAAACCACTGGCAGAAACCCTTTTCTGTCACATTTGTGCAGTGGCCCCCATCCACCCTAAGCTCTTGGGCGCATTCATCCCCCCCCCCAAAAAAAATGTTGCTAACTTCCCCCTTCCATGTTAGCTTGTTCGAAATAGTGCTACTTTGCTTGCTCATAATATGATGATGCTTCTTTTATTTATGTACTTAAAAAAAAAATTCTCACATCTAAATCCCCCCCCAAACTATTAGTTTTATTTAGTGTAAAAATTCCCCCCTCCCCAAGCTTTAAGTGGGCGCATCGTGTGCCCACCTTCCCCCCTGATGGGCCCCTGCATTTATGGCAGAAATTCAGAAAATGACATGTAAGTTAAGTACTGAGATTGACATACAATGGATAATTCATAGAAAAAAACATTTAAATGTTAAACAAAGTGACCAGTGAAATTGCTGTTTACATTTATGAATCAGTGAATCTAACCAATTATATTACCTGTTACATACAGCAAAGATTAAAACTGTTACTGTTATAATAATTGGATTGTTGCCATGCAAATTATGTCTTGAAAAGAAAAAAAACTATTTGAAAGTAGCTCTATTCAGTTACATTAAGAGTTAAATGATAATAATTACTGAATTTCAGAGTTTAATATAATAAACTAAAATTTAGTATTTATATTTATTATTACATTACTTTATTCTTTATTTAATATAAATATTTGATATACTGCACTGCACTCTTTATATTTAATATAAACAAAATAATATATATTTACAAACAATGAATTAAAAAGTTTGTTACAGTCGCATTTTTCAGTTTACTTAAACAAAATGTCATTAAGCAATTACTAGAACTAATATAGACGTTTTTTAGTTTCTGACAGTTTTTACCGGTTATAACCAGTTTCTGCCACTGGCATGGCAAAAACCAGTTTCTGCTGGCAAAAAGCCAACCCTGCTCCAGACACTACTTTTTCTAAACTTGAAAGAAAAAAAAACTTTTACTTTAAATTATAAACAAATATGAATCTTTCTATAATTTTATACAGTAGGTAAATTTTTAGCCTTGTCTATATCTATAAAAATTATAGTAAGGAATCAATCATTCTACTAAATTTATTGAAGTATTTTCTATTAAAGGATCATTAATTCCCTTGTCACCTTTATATATCTTTGTAAAGAAAGAAGAGAAAATTATGCTGCTCATGTGAAATATTTCTAACATGAGTATCTTTTCATCTGAACAACATAGGTTAGGCGACACCATGAGATGAAATGATGCATTTAATACTCTTAATTCCTTTTCCCTCTCTGAAAATTTCCATCTTGTTTTAATCAATTTGAACCCTGTACTTAACACAGCTGAGATTGAAAAAAAAAAAGAAAGAGAGAGAACAGAAATCTGTCATTCAAGTGTTTATATAAATCAAACATTTATTCAGATTTTACTGCTAATTAGCAGGACAATTGCAAGGCAATTTTTAAGCTAATTAGCAATGACTAGCTACAGGGTTGGCAAGGTTTAGGACAGAATGGATTAATCCACGGTTTAAACCGTCCTGTCCAAAACCCTTTTACTCAAATTATGTCACAATTTTATCTGAACAATATTTAAAAGGTAAAATAAATATAGAACTAATCACAAATTGATAATTAAATCTACTAGAGAGTAAATATTTCTTTTTAAAAGTATAATATTTTATTAATATTGTTTGACTCTTCAATTTAAACATTAAACAAAACAAAATTAATCAGTAATCAAGTTCAATTGGTCCTCTTAACATTCGATAGCACATAACTGAAGTTTGACCTTGCCATACAGGTTTAGCTATTAGGGACTAAGTACTTGGTTAGTCATAAACAGGTATATTTATCTATAGTACTATTCAAGAATACTTTTATTTCAATCATGTTCAAATCTTTTAGCATAGTGGTGATACATCACCAGTGTCAGTAACCGAAACTGATGTTATGCCCTTCAAAACTGTTAATACATTTTTCAGTTATTTTGTATTTCAAATTTAAACTAATATATTTATATTCAAAAACAATTTTTTTTTTAAATAGATGTCTTTTTTTATCCTCCTGTAATGCAGAAATTATAACATTTTTTTAAAAAAAATATTGTGAAAAATAAAAGGTTAATTTTTAAACAAATTTATAATTTTTTTAAAAATTTATTATTTTTAATATTGCATAATTTATCAGTATTAAAAGCATATTTATATTTAAAGAATAAGGTATTCACTTTTGTCGTTCAATGAGTTGTGGAGCTTCAAAAATTATAAACCTTTTCCTATTATAAGTTAAAGTAAATTGTATAAAAAATATCAAATATTTATTGATATATGTAATTATTATGTGTACAATCGTTACACATATAGAATTTTTACCTTTTACCAAAGTTCAAGGTTTTGGACAGTTTAAGACAGTAAAACCCACATGTTATGCCCTTCAAAACTGCCCGTCCAAAACCAGTTTAGGACGTCCAACACCCCAACCTTTACTAGCTATTTATAATACTTATTTTTCGGTTACCTGGACTATTATTGAAGGAAATTTATACCTACTGTTTCCCGTCGACTACGCCTACAAAAATAATTTATTCATATGATATAGGCCTTTGAATTACCTGAGCAATTTATTTGTCCTGGTAATTTGTATGATGAATTTCTTTTTATTTATTTTTGCAGATCCAAATAGGGAGTTTTTTTTTCCTAGAAATGGATGATTCTGGAACAAATACATTAAATTTATCAGTAAATCCTGGAGTACCGGAAACCTCAGAAACAAAAAAAAAATCTAAAGGACATCGCTGTTATTTTTGTGGTCAAAGATTCATGGTGAAAAATGTGCTTCGAAAGCATATAAGCATACACAAAGATAGAGATTTTTTCTGTGAAACCTGTGGCAAAGCTTTTTCTACTAACTGGGGACTGAGGAAACATATAAGAATTCATACCGGAGATCGCCCCTTTGCTTGCAACCTTTGTGATAAAGCTTTTGCTCAAAAATGCACCCTACAGTTTCATTTGAAATCAATGCACAGTGATAAGCCTCATCCCAGGTGTAAAACTTGTGGCAAACGATTGAAATCTTTCTCATATATTCAGTGTTGGTTATGTAGATATGAAGGAAAAGAGATTATAGATATGAAAGACATTGATGGCTTCAGTAAGTCTTTATCAGAAGGAGTTAGGGACTTAGATCCTAGTTTAGTGAGAGAGGAGACGCAAAACCAAGACCCTGTTGCATATCAGTCAAATCTCGAAAATCCCCCCCTTGTCTCCAACCAAATCATGATATATCTCTGTGAAATATGTAACTTCCAGTTTGATACTTTCGCAAAACTTAAGCAACATCAAATAGATTATGGACATGAAACTATCTTTGTGTGTGAACAATGTGGGGAAAGGTTTGATGACTCGACTAGTATGAAAAAGCATTTAACAACTCATACAACAAAGTTGAGACCATATGTTTGTCAAAAGTGTGGGAAAGATTTTAAGAAAGACTACAATTTGAAGCAGCATCTGGTCACCCACAGAGAAGACCGTCCATATACCTGCAAAATTTGTCAAAGTTCTTTTAAGACGATTCCAAGTCTGAAACAACACTTAGTAAGCCACAGTAATGATAGACCTTATGCTTGTAAAGAATGTGGCAGCAATTTCAAATCTCCACAGGGATTGAAATCACATATTTTAATTCATAACAAAGAAAAACCATTAACTTGTAAAACTTGTGGGAAGACTTTTACATTTCTTGGTAATTTGCAACGTCATTACAGAGTCCATACGGGAGAAAAACCATATCATTGTAAGCTATGTGATAAACGGTTTTCACAATCCAACGGATTAAAAGCACATGAATTAATTCATGCAAAACCTTTAAAGGATGAAGAATACTTATGTACTGTGTGTGGAAGGAAGTTTAAATCTGTATCAAACTACAAAAAACATTTATTGTTGCACAGCTAAATGTTAGTTTTTTCTTTAACATTTTGTTTCATAATTGCATGTTTTAATAAAATTTTTTTTTTTATCAAGTATTACAAGGAATATGTCTGCAATACTTTAAATCTAGAAAATGTATTGTTTAATTGTAATTAGTATTGCTCATTAAGTTATAAATTTGTTCAGTTTTAATGCTCTTAAACCAGTTTTATGAACATCAATATTTTCAAATGTGAATCTTTTCTTCTTTTTTTTCACTAGATTCCCATAAAAAAAATTCTAAAGTGATACATTGAACTGGGATACCATTCTCACATTTTCCAAAAGTAGTCAAAGTATACTGTATTCTACCCTATTTATTGTTCCAGAATTTTTAGGATTCTTAAATATTAACCTCTTCCACCAAGATTTAATTATGTAAATTGTGCATGAAATTATCATTTAATTTTTATTAAAAAAAAAACTAGTTTAATTTTATAGTTCTTACTTATTCTTAGTTTAAATTACATTAACGATATGGCTATAGTTGTTATATGTTGTAGAAAAGAAAAGATTAAACTATTCAGTAAATGAACTATACTTCTTACCTTATTTTACCAAGAGGGGTTGAAGGAAATTTATTTTGGTTTATTCTGCAATATTTTCTATCAAAAAAAAATTTTTTTTTTAAAGTTAAGAAGCCAATTGAATTGTGAGGGACAGTATTGTTGCAAAATATTTATCTAAATTTTAAAATAAATTTAAAGAAATAGACAAAATTCTAAGAAAACCTTAGGTTTAAGCTTAGAACTTACTCAACTGATTGTTTAAATCACAATTTTGTTAATTAGCTAATTTTATTAAATAATAAGATCTAATAAAAATATTATTAATCTAAGTAAGATCTAATAAATAATTTTAAAAAAATTGTGAATTTCTAAATTTCTAAGTCAAACATGATAAGAAGGAAAACTTTGAAAACAAACTATCATCAATGTTTAAAAAGATTTATTTTAAGAAATACTAAAAACATTAAGCTTAACCTTTAAACTATTGCTTGATAATATTTAAACTATTGAAATAACTGTTTATCTTGAAGCTGAAAATAAACTTAGACAATTTTCTTACAATATTTGTTTTTTCAAGGGGAAAAAAATTTTAAAAATAAAAGTTGTTTTGCATGCAAAGAGTCTGTTTAATAACAGACAAAATATTATTTGTGGTTCTCTGTACAATTCAGTTTCATCACAAGTTTAATTAATCTAACTATTTCTGTTTAATGCGCAATCAGATCATTTTGACAAACATTTTTGTCTAATCTACTTGAAAAATATAGTGCAATATGAGATAATTATAGGAAGATAAATTGAAAAGATACTTATGTTTTCAAATTGGTAAAAATATAAGAATTTGATACAGCAATTTATTGACCTCTTTATAATGAATAAAATAATATTTTAATGGAATTCCTATTTTATTCGTTAATGATTGCTGTAGGGTCTTATAAATCGTAATTTATATTTAAAACTAGCAAAATATTTAATTTTTACCTTTCATCAAAATAACTGCCCGAAAGTAAATGTTTGAGTTGTGATGTTACAATATTATGAGTGTATAAAAATAGTTTTTCAATTTGCTGTAATATTCCCTAATCTTTGTAAAAAATGCTGGTCCAATATTTAATTTGTAATTGAACTGAAAAGGAAAAAAAATGTGCCAACTAAATTAAATGACTTTAATGTATATTTAAAGTTTAGTAAAAAAAATCTGATAGTTCTTGTATGAACCACAATTGATCAAAATCATAAAAAAGTCTATAGTCTATAGGTAACTTAACCTCTCTATTTCACATACTTAATGTATGACCTTATTAAACTAATGAATGCAAATGCCACTTTGTGTAGTAAAAAAAAAAATATTTCTCCACCTGCTAGGCAGTAGACTACCTAAAGAAATAATTTAGGGAGGTTTTGTCATAATTCTTTCGTTTAAAGCAAATTAAGATGTTTCAAATTCATTGCTTGATATTGGGTTGTAAAATAACATTGCATCTGTGAAATGTTAAATGGGACTTCATGCTTATTGTAAATATATGAATATACCTTTAAATTATATACATATTACCGTGTCAAATATGTAATTATCAATATTATAAACTTGATAAGATAAAGAATATTTCATCTGTGCTAAATTCCAATTCAGCAAATATGTTAAAATCCTCAAAATGTTAAAGATAAAAAAAATAAACTTTTACTGAAATCAAATGAAACAATAAAATAGATTTAAATGATAAAATCTGAATGAACTGCACAAAGCTAAAATATTTAATTTAAAATCAACAAACAAGCTTTTGTTACATTTAAATACATAATCATAATTTACATAGACTAGTCATTAGTAATATACATACAGGAGTTCTGAAGTAAATAATCAAAGTTTACTTAAAATTGTTATGTTATATAAACATCTTTATGATTTCAGAAATTTTGCAATAAAATAAAATCATTTTAGCTCACATGCAGCTGTATGTGAGCCATGGCACTATAATAGTAATTTTTTAAAAAAAACAGAAATGAGCGTGTCAAACAAACGACTCCCTTTGGTTTTCATAACTTTTTGTGCATAAAAAATCTTGTTTTACAATTTTCAAAATATCAGAACAAATATTATGAACAGATTCATGCAGAGCAGGGTTGAGAACTAAGGCTTTAAGAATGTCTTCACCTCCTTCTTCATGCAGCATTTTGCAATAGCGTTTAGCTGTTTAAAAAAATTTTATTTATTAAGTACAAATTCTTACTAAATATCCTAGCAAACAGAAAAATATAATTATCTTAATTAATTACACAACGTAATTAATTTCCTAATGCATTTTTATGTGAAAAAATCATGAAAATTTTAAATTTTCAATAAATACTAAATTTTTATTATTGACTAAACTAACAGATTATAAATGTAATTTTTAAAAAATAATACACAGACATAGATATATGTATGTAAACTGTGTACATTTATATAGAACAAAAATATCTATGAACAATACAATATGTATGATTTAGAAAAACCAATTCATAAACTGAACAATGATGATTTTTGCAAACACATAACTAACACAAGTCAATAGTAGCAAAATACTAATAACTTAACTGTTTCTATCATTTACTAAATTACATACTCTAGATATCAACACAATTTAGTTAAATATAAATTGCTTACAACTTAAAAGAAATGCAGATTCTATTTAACCCTTTGCTTACGGTGTACCATTATATGTGGTCCACATGTTGTACCAGCCGTAACCAAAAGGTTAATAACATTCTAAGGCATTGAATTTGACAAGTCTGACACCTGGTAGCAAACCGCTTAATAACTGAAAGAAGTGCAATTTGTCAATAAATTGATGCATTTAATACTGTTGATGCTTACAGCATACTTTTGTTGGAATTGTTTTTGTGAAAGAGTTAAGTTAAAAAAAATAATAATAAATATGTATTAGTTCAGTAAATTAATTTGATATGTTTAGAATTTACTAAAATTATTTTTAGCAAACTATTATTTGACTTGTAATTTAATAAATAAATTTGAAAAATAAAAAGGCAGCTATGTTAAATTAATACATTATTGAGAATATATAAACAAATAAGTCAAATTAATAATGATAAATACAATCTGAAAAGAAATTAAAATATGTTTAAACTTATTTCAAACTATTACATTACATGACTATGACATTACAGAACAAAGAGGATTAAATGACAAAACAAGAGTTAAAAAATAACACAAGTGAACTATAAAAAATACTTAAATCAATAACTACCATATTCAATTTATTTTCAGGAATATTTTTTCATCCCTATTTAAAATAGGAAAATGAAAAAGAGAAATTTTCTAGCCAGGAGGGTTTGCTGAGAATTTTGCCTAACCATTTGCTTATGGTATATAACTGCATGATAAAATGACACCTGTTCTATTTATTTTTTTTTGGTTCTTCAATTGAAGGAAGAAAGAAATAAAAAAATATTGAATGAATAAAATTTGTAATAATTAAGATTAATTATTAAAAAAATATTTGTTATATAAAATTAACTTATGGGATACACCAGTTTAATAATTAACAAAATATACAATGCTTTAGTACAAATTAAAATTATCGCAAACTATTGAACAATAACCATGTTAAGAATTTTACTTTTAAAAAAGATGTTCAAAATCAAACAGTTAACTGGCAACATTTGCCTCTTAATAAACATGAAAATTTGATATAGCTCCAAGTGTTTTAAAAATATTTTCCTAATTAATTACAGTACAATAAAATTAGACAAAGTACTTCATCCTCAAAAAGAAATTATTTGATGAAATCATTACCTCATTTTAATCACAAAAAATAGAAAAATGTTGCTTGAAGCAGTTTAGGTCAAATAAAATAAATATAAATAATTTTAGATCTATTTTTAAAGACTTGTGATAAATATCTTCATTGATAAAAACAACTTCATACTAAAATGAATAAAAGTAAGTATATAAAATGCTTACGATTTTTCAGACAAACATGATGAACTGCCCATGCGGCCCACAGTTGAACTTGATGAGCAGAAAAACAGAAGAAAAGGGGATAAAAAGGATTAAATGATCTATAAAAGAAAATATATTCACAATTATTTTTTTAATTGTTTTAGACGGTACTCTGAAATTTAGTTTTTAGGCTTAATAACAAACAAGTTTAATGTGTGAAAAACCTTTGCCTTTAAAATTACGAATCAATTTTCAATAATTTTATGAGAAACACAAAACATATTGAAAGTAATATAATTATAAACATTTAGTTCTATATTAGCTACTCTTTTAATATAATTTTATAAATATTGAAAACTTAAAATCAGCAGATTATTTCTGGACAGCAAGTACAAGTTTATAATTAAGTCATAGCAAAGATTTAATACAAAATATTTTACAGGACAAAGTAATAATTTCGCTTACAATATTTGATTTCATGACATATATTATTTATATTGAAAACCATCGATGATAATAAATTGACTTTCAATACTACTAAGTCATTAAAACAATTTCTTTGAATAAAATTATTTCTTATTTCATTAAAATATTTCTTTGAAAAATAAATTTGAAAACTCGTATTTATACAAAGAAAAGGTCAATTTTGTTTTTAGGAAAAACAGTTGCTTGATTTTTATTTATAAAAATATTTTAATACTAAAAGTAACTTATACAGTACAAATCAATTGTGAAAAACAAAACATACCTATATGCAACCATTTCTGTAGCCGGGACATTCCAACTCAACACAGCATTACCCTAGATAAAAATTAAATAAATAATAAAGGAGGAATTTTCAGTTTTAAAAAAATTAATCAATACATTTAAAAATAATTCAATCTGAATCAAAAGTATTCTTAACAGTCAGAGTAACGAGCGATTAATTCTCACTTGGGCCGGATCACGCTATTGGTCGAAAATGACATCACTGTTTGGGGGAAGGGAGATGGTGGCTGTTGGCTGGTGTTTGTATGAGTTTGGCGACAAATTTCGTATACACACATGCTCGCTCGGAATTTATTTATTCCTTGTAAATGTTTACGTAATATTATGTCGTGGTTAGGGTGGGGGAGATAGGTAAATGTCCACTTCAGCATTTCAGACAATATTTATGTTTTAATTGATTTAAATTCATCAAAGCTAAAAATAATGAATGTTTTTACAAATATAAGATTGTATAGTAATATTACAAATACGTTTTTTTCTTTTTGTTTGTTTGTTTTTCCTTAAGAATTATCTTTTGCAGTTATGAAGTAACAAAAATTGAAATAAACATAAGCTCAAATTTACTCATACATCGTAATTTAGTTGTGTTATGGATAATTTTAAAAACTTCATAATCAAATTTAAAGTAATGACCAAAATTCTGGGCAATTTTAAATTAGCAAAATTAGCAATTTTAAATACCAATGAAATGAATTGAGATATCAACATCATAACACATTGCAATTGATGATGCTAAATATCTGCTGAGCTATTTGATACTTTCTCCTTTTGCTCTCTAAACAATAACTATCACATCAGTTGATTCTAGGAAAATTTCTCAAACATGAAATTGTTAAAGCATCTCTTATTGGAAAGCTATGTCATTTATTTCGATACAGTGATGCTTAACCAAAAATAAATAGATAAGCTTTTTTAGACTTGAGGTAAACAGAAAAGGAAAGACTACCTGATGTGTGGTTAGATGTTGATATGAAGTACATAAAAGAAAACCCTTGTAAGGCCATAGGGCAGGATACTGTCAGGCATTGTAACGTGCTGTCTCTCAGTTCAAAAGCAGAAATGATATTGCAATCATAGCCATACAATCTTTTACATAAGGGCAAATTAATTTTTAAACACAGGGTTAATTAAACAAACATTAAATAATACAAAGTATGACTTGACAATTGAGGGTCCTGATGCAAAAAACGAGATTCCATTTTTAAAAAAAAATTTTTGAAGTGAGCCCAGAGCCGGATTATACCTTTCGTAGGTCCTAGGTATAGCCGTTTTTGGGCCCTCCCCTCCTCCCCCCCCCCTCCTTTCAAAATATATGCTAAAATTTTCTTGCATATTTTTTTTCACATTTTTATTAATATGGATTTTAATTTACAAATCTTCAACAATGAATCAAGATCATTTGGCATCGCTCGTACTTATGTCTATTGAATACGACATTTTGCGTAGTTTGGAATTCGACAGCATAATACAAGATTTTGTTGAATCCAAAAATCGCAAAAAAGTCATATATTAGATCATAAGATTCTGCAAAATAATTTATTACCGAAAAATATTATATTTTTATTTGTATCTTCATAATTTTGTGCAAAATACACTTGTTGTTTTTAAAGCTAAATTATTTTTGTCAACAAATTTTTTTCTCCCACTTTTTTCGTAGGCCCTAGGCAAGTGCCTATAGGTTAATCCGGCCCTGAGTGAGCCCAATGAAAACAAGAAATAAAAAATTTTATTCAACACCCAGGAAAGTACCGATGTTACATTTAGATCCAGTAAACAAAACAGCCATATTTTAAACAAGGGTAAATAAATTAAAATTTTTTTGAAAAACTTGGACTATTATCTGGTTTTTGCACTAGGCCTTAAAATTGCAAGAATCTCCAGGTAGAGCTAGACATTAAAAATTTTTAGAATAAATAAAGCTTCAAAAAATTTAGAAAATAATTCAGAAATTTAAAAAATTATTCAGAAGAATTATGCAATTATAGGATTAATGCAGGTTATCAACTGAAGATATCATAAAGTAGCAATAAATTAATCAGTGTTATAGATATAATTAATATATATATAATTATTTCTTACCAATCCATTAACCATTTCCTCATACTTGACAGAAGTGCAAGTCCAAAAGCTTTCACCTTCACTAGCAATATGAGCAACTATTCCAGCAGCGAAGTAACTCACATCAATATGTTCTGATTGTAAAAGACTCCTGTAATAAATTGCAAAGAAGGAATAAATTATAAAATATTCTATTCAAAAAATTATAAACCTTAGTGTTTTATAATAAAAATACAAGATTTGCAAATAGTTGGCAACTAAATAAATCAAAAAAGGACATTAACAAATAAAATACATTGTTCCTGGTTTCGTTTAAGTACCACACTAATATAAAATATGCAAGTTTGCAGCCAAGCAGAGTTTTAGGGGTTCAAACTTCCCTCCGAAAACATAAACATTTTTCAAAAGTTTGTTTTTACCTATTTATTTATGCCGATAGCTTGAATATTTAAACGCCTTTTCTTGTTTTCCAAATAAAAAAATTTTAAATACTTAAAAAAAATAATAATAAATAAGAAAAGTAATAAAAAAATGGTTTTGTTATTTTTTCCCTTAGGAATACACATCTATTATGCTTAGAGAAGGTGGAAATGTTTTTGTTTTTTTTTCAGGTTGGGGATGTAAAATGGAAATCTCCAGTCAGACTTTACAAGCATAGCGAATTGACAACTTGCTGTTAGCTTATTTGTTACTTCTTGTTAACAATATGGTAAATTTAAAGCAGGGATGGAAGATAAAATCACGCTATTCTTTGAGATGTTTCTAATGGCTGGAATAGGGAGGGTTGAAATAAATTGGACTTTTCATTACTTTAGCAAAAGAATGGGTTTAAGCCATGAGATAAAGTGGAGGCTAGCTCATATAATCAGTACTCAAACTGGTCATCAAACACCACAAAGGGTTAAGGACAGCCGACACTTCCTTTAACCCACTGACGGTTCTGCACGTAAAAAGTCGCAGTTTAACCTGCAGTCTTCTCTGCATAGCAAAACTGGTTTTCCCATGTTAACTGATAGGGGAACTGTGTGTAGGGGAGAAACATTCTCCCAATTTTGCCTATTTCCTTAACCGCCAGTGGGTTAAACCCTTTTTATACTATTGTGTTTGTTTTTTTACAAAAAAATTTCCGGTTTAAATTAGCTTTCAAAACTTGTAACTTGTAAACCTTAAACCTGAAAAGCATTTTACACTTAGACGAGGTTAAATATGTAAGTACGAAACTATACTGGCCAAAACTAGAAAAATTCACTGTGATGTTTATAAAATTAATATGCAAGAATTGTAAGAATATGCAAGAATTGTCTCCGAAAGAATTGTAAGCAGATATATTGTATTGGAGTTTGTGATATGAGTAAGAATTTTTACATTTCTTTAACTGTTAAGTTAGTTTTAGATGCTAACAAATAAAAAAAGAATGTATCTAGATTCAGTTTTGTGATTTTTGGAAGCTATTTATTATTATTAATACCCATATATCATAAGTTATTACACAATTTCAAAATGTATCAGCTTTTTTTTGTGCGTAAATTGCAATACCAATATGAAGTTTTCTGAAAAATTAAATGTACTAAAAGTATTGGTGCCAGTTTAAATAATTACCTTAATAGTTTTAGGTGGATCTGAAGTTATTTTATTAAAAGACATTTATTTAGAATATGAATCATTTTTACATAAACAATTTTTTTTTATTAAATGTATAACAGTATACTGCACTTTGTTTCATTCATATTGAATTCTTTATATATATATNTTGTACCCATGTTTCAATTTCAGCAAAGAGTGATTTTAAAGCAAAGTATTAACCTGAAGAATTTTGTTCTTCAAAATATTTTTTTTTTATTGTTTGAGTTGATGAAGTTGAGAGAGCTTTTAACATTCAAACAGAGTTCATAAAAATTTACATTATAGGTATATTGGTCAAACATAATTCCTTAAATTTGTTTTCAGTGTCCTTCAAATTTATTTTCATTAAAAATAATTTAGTTTTCAACTACAAATATTAGTTTTTCTTATTTATATTTAATTATAAAATTAGCAATTGTGTGATATTGATTGATTTAATTTTGCAAATATCAAGCTCATTATTACTTTATATTAATATAATCAGAACACCCGCCCCTAATTTAATTCTGGCTGAGGCCCTGGGTATTAGTACATTTATTTACAGCGAATATTATTACAAAGATATCTTACCATAAAGCAAGCATAAAATCATCTTGCATCAAGTTTTTTCGCAAGTCACGAACTTCAGCAATGTTATTCTACATACAACAAAAATAGTAGCTTAAAAATCAATTTACATAAAATAACAATATATTTTATATTTAAAATCAACAACAAAATTAGAATTTATGCTCAATTTAATTTTTAAAAAACGTTTTTAAATTTTCTTAAAAGACAATTTAATTACTTTAGTTATCATTTTAATTTAATTTTTTACTTGGTTACATTTTTTATATAACTTAATTCTCTTTCTTAAACTCATTTAAAACATTAACAAAAACCTTAACATTTCTTGAAAAAAATAAAATTTACATATTGTTAATAAAAAAATAAAACAATTTAAGTGCTGAGAATTGAAATTGTCAATTAAGACTGATATTTTCTGCATAGAAATTTCCCTTTTTATTATGGCAATCAATAGGGAAGAATGTATAGAGAAGAAAAATATGTACTAAAAACTATGTAATATATATGTAAAAAAAGCAAACAGTTAACACAAAAAGTTTCATCACAGTTAAAAATTAAAAATATCAAATTAGAACTAAATTTGAACATTACTTAGAACCAATTTAATTCACTCAGTACAAGGCATTATAGTTATAGACAAAAATATTTTTAAATTGGTTTTTTATCATTCAAATGAAAAAAACATTTATCATGTAATGAGTAAGAATAAATAACACAGAATAAATTTTATTCTGTGTTATTTATTAATATATATTTATTATTAAACACAGAATAATAAATATTTATTAATAAACACAGAATAAATTTTAAAATTACATTTTTCAACAGGTGAAAACATTTTGTCTCTTTCTGGAATAGGAGGTTATGTTTAACAAAGAAAATTATTTCCTATAAAAGTTATATGTATTTTACCAAATTTTCTACTTACATTTAGAATAAAAATATGACTATGAAAAAATAAATTCAAATGTATGTTTACCATTAATCCAAGAACTTTAGTTTCCACAGAACTTTCGCCAATAAATCTCTATAAAATACCAAAACCATTAAAGAATTGCCAAGAAATAAATTAAATAATAATTCACATAAAATTCTACACATAAACGGAAATTAAATTAAAAATTCGATAGCTTGGTCATTTATTTATAATAAAAATAGTAAAACAAAGTGCAATTTATTATAATGTTTCTTTTAAATCAGGATTATGTAGAATGTCCACTTTGATACAAAAACCAAATGAGGCTGTATTGCTCAAAATTTTTAGAGTTAAAACAAACTATTGATGATACCTAATACAAATTAATAATTCTCATATAATAATAAAAGTGTTAAAAAAAAAAGTAAGATGTACTAAATTTTTATTTTTGTATCAGAATGATTTCCAGTATCACTAAAACTCTAATATTTCTTAATTCCGGAGAAATCATTCCATATTATTATAAAAATGCTAATGGAAAACTACTAATTGTTTCAACCTATCTCTCTAACATCTGATTTTTTTCCATAATTCAGAAATCTATTTTCTTGGGTTCTCACTCTATCCCTCGTACATATTATTCAATTAAAGTTGATTATTTTGTTTAATTTTGATATCTTCAACCTTTAGGCTAATCTTTTCCATTTTTAGCTTGATGTAAAATGTTTTAATTTCTCTGCATATCTATCAGCTTCACTTCTTCATTCTATGATGTGACTCAAAAGAAGGTGCTTCATTATATGCTAAAAATAATATTCTGTTTTGTGGCTTTAAAATGCTTTTGTGGCTTTTTTGAAAAATGCAATAATTTTTTTAAGAAAATTTAAAAAAAACTTTAAGTAGCAACTCGGCTAGCTAGAGAGATATTACACGAATTTACTGTTTTCAATAAAATTGGAATTTATTGTTCATGTATGATTTTGTGATTACCTTGTTATTTCATTTTGAAGGCAACATCAGCATGACATATCCTTGACTTATTCATTATGTTGTCTGTCTATCTATCTATCTATCTATCTATCTATCTATNTGTAAAAACTATTAAATATATAAATATATACACAAGCACGCACACACACACAATTGACAATTAAAATATGTAAGTGGAACAAATAAACAAATGAGATGTAACATTCCTGAAATTATCAAATTACAGAAATCTTTTTTTTTTAAATTTATTTACCATTAAAACATCCAAAAAAAGTTGGAGGCCTCCTAGCTCAAGAAAAACATTGCAAGTTCGAGGTGATTCATCTGAAAAAATAAAGATTAATAACAGTATATAAAAAAAAAAACGTAAAGAAATAACATTAACTTCTGAGAAAAATTTGAGCAGAAACTTTTAAGACAATTCAAAAAGTAATGTTTCATTAATTCTTAACTAAATATTAAAATATAAAACAACTTATTTTACCAGAGAGGTATATGATATATTTTTATATTTTAGCAACATTTTATTTTCAAAATATTAGAACATTTATCTAAACTTTGATAATTTTATTTAAACTATAGTTTATTTTCATTTATAATAACATTAATGCATTTATTTAAACAATATTTTCTCTCTTAATTCAACTTTAATCCGCTATTCAACTCCGAGGAAATCCAAAATGGAGAGGGGGGAAAAAAAGAGAGAAACAAGTGTCTTTATTCATGAAAGATTAAAATTATTGTCTGCTTCTTTCGATTAATTTTTTATATAAACTGTGAAAATTTCTAAATTTAAAAATTATTAAGTCTACAAAATAGTTTTAAGTTATATATTTAATAAGCAATATATTTCGGATCTAAAATTCATATAAAAAAGAAATTTCCAAAATAAGGTTATAGACCTCACGTGATAAATAATACTAGACATTTGGCAAAATTTTGATTCAAACATTATAACAAAATTTTATAAAGAGCGTGGAATTTTGAATTCTTTGGATGGGAGTGAAGAGGATTTTTTGTGGCATTCAACAGATGAGGAGGATATAAAATTCGTAGAAAAGTGAGTTCCGTATGACAACACTGCTAATGTTATTGAATCCAACACAGGTGATGTTCACTAATCTTTAAAATTGAAAATATATGGTATGTTTCAAAAGTTTTCATTGTGTTACATTTTTTTGAAATACTCTTGAGTAAATTAAATCTTCATACTTTTTTTCTGAATTTAATATAAAGTATTGTTTCTAAAGAACAATCTTTACATAGAAAGAAAATAGACAAAATGTAAAATTAATTGCATATAACATATTATTAAAAATAGTTTTTTAAAAGGGTAATCATACTACAAATTAACTAGTTAATTAAAGGGCATTCAATCTATAAGAAAATGTTGTTGTATGACATTGACATTAATGATGGTCTATTGAATAATACATGTTTTTAGGTTTATTTTATTCACCTTAAATACCTATAAACTAGGAAAAATCTATTTTCAGGACTTATCAAAGTCCTGACCATTCCGGATATTGGACTTTCAACTGGACATAAATAAATTATGGATATCACACTCAAAATAGAAATCATTAAAATATAAATTGTAAATGTCCTCACTCTAGCACTACGTTTTTATTCTTTTTGAATTATTAATTTGAAAATTTCTAGTTCTCAAAAAGGTATATTTGAATTTTGTAGTTATATTTTGGAAAGTCTTCCCCAATAAAAATCTATAATATATATTTGTATTATTTCAATTACAATATTGACTGAGCAGGTTTCCTTCTCTCATTCTCTGTCTCTTAGAGTTTTTAATAAATTTTTTTAATTTATTTAATTTCATACATATCCTTTCCACTTACAAATTCGTGAGAATATCGGTTTTTGATCACTGGGGTTCAATTGTACACTAAGACAAAGACGAATTTTGAAACAATCAAATTTAAAAAATAATCCTTCACTAGGAAAATATTTCACAATAAAATAACAATTTTTTTAAATTAATTAGTTAATAAGTACTCCCCCTCACCCCAAAAAACATCAAACACTAATAATTTAAATCCCATCATTTAGCTTTAAAAAAAATAAATCAAACCTGTCAAATTCCATAAAGCACTTAAAGTGAATTTCATCATAATATCAATGTCTCCTGAATATGCTTTGGAACGAACAATATCTAACAATCTTCGCATATAACCAGATTTAGCACCCAAGTTGGAAGTTTCAACAGTAGAGATCTAAAAAATAATAATAATAATTATAAATGTATGAATATTAAGAATACCAACTATATCCTAAATCCTGAACGACTTTTCGATTTTAAAATTACCCGAGAAGCACTTTCAATTATTTAGGAAGTGCCCAAGCAATTTATAGTTCAAATTGAGAAAATGCATCATAATGTTAAAATACATAAATTTTAATGAGTTGTAATAAAAAAAGCAGTGATGTAGGTTTGAGGCGACCTGCAGCACTGCTTTGAATGGTGGAAAACTCGTGTATAGATCGGGAAGGGGGTTATAAAGGTATAAAAAAGGTACTAAAAGGTATTTGTGTAATGTTTTCAATAAAGCTAATTTTTAAGTTATTTAACTGTCACACCTCATATATATATATGGGTCATTCTCACAAAAACAGTCATTTTCATGTCCCCAGTACATTTTATGTTTGTTTTACAGCTTACGAAAAAAAAAAATTCAGGGAAAGTGTTCTTCAGAATGCAAGCTAACAAAAGAATAAAAATAAAATTATCAATTTTTATTTTTTATTTATTTTAGGTAATTAAAATATACCAATATGTCATTCCCTCACTTGTCCCCACTGCTGATTTAAAAAAAGAAAAAAATTGTTTCTGAAATAAGAATTTTTTTTTTCAAATTCATGTTTTTTATTTCAGAATACTGAAATATAGAATTCAG